TTTCCGACTTTTCCGATCGACCGAGAGTCTGCCCAACGGATAAGTAGAGGGCTCGCTGGCAGGTATTGCCTCGGGCTCTGAGGGTTATGAACGCGTAAGATGAAACACACATATTTGAATGTCGATGCTCTGTGTAACCTCAAGAGTTCTATTCACTCTCTGTTTGTTTCTGAAACTCACCGCAGCATAGCACGTCGTTTGCCTAGCTCCGAAGCTACACCGACCCAACAAATGGCGACGGCGTGTCCAGAGTCGTTGGGTGCTGGCGTTGAGCTCTCGTTGGGTGAAAAAGTCACTGCAATCGATGCTTAAGATTGGTTACCCAAACAGGCAATAAAGTCTTGGGACTCTCAGTTGCTTTTATTAGGTCCACGTTCGTTTGGCCAGCATGACTACTGATAATCAAAAATATCTACACTAGACGACGCATGCCAAGCTCCCACGTTGATACTATCTCGTATTTGCAAGTAAAGCGAGTTCCTTGGCATGTATTTGTCTTCCGAATTGTTAAGGTTGTTGATAGCACTGGGTCTCCAGTTAATGTCTATCTAGAGTTGAAAAAACATCGTTCGGTAGCCAGGTATTCGACAACACATATCTCCCGTCAACATAACAAGCGGATCTGGTATGAAGCTCGGTGCTGAAAATGAAGAAATTACGTCAATGTTGACGATAAGTGGCTCGAAGCTTAGATACGAGTCGAAAGTAACCTTGCGGAGTAGTCCCAAGCATAGGCAAATACGGAAATGGCTACAACTAGTAATAGTAACGTCCCACCTACCTATACTCTAGTCGTCCATACTTTCTCATCATCACACAGTTTATTCCGCCAGATACGATACAACCCAAACCACGTTCTTCAATCTCTCTACGCATTTCAATCATACAAATATCCCTTCTTTCAAACACGATAAAACATCACATCATTTCAAGTAGCTTGAACGCGATATCGGAACTCCCATCCCCATTATCCTCAAAGAAACATCGGAGTAACAAATCCACTCCGACCTGCATTAACCCAGCCAACCACATTCCGCGGGGCACCCTCGTCATCACCAAGTGCGAAGAAAAACCGGGCGTCCCACTAGTCATTCCTTCCAAGCGATAGGGCGCACATAATGCACGCTGTGCAACCGCCTGCCACGTCTTGATTACCCGTTTGCCGCAATCCCGTCGTCAACGAGGCCCCCGTTGTCGCAAACTGCCAAGATGCCCACACCGTGCTGGATGCGGTATAAGATGTGCGGGCCTGCCGTACTCCGCAGTTGTAAGATTGGCAACGGGTCTGCAGCATAGTAGTCGGTGATATGTAAATTCCGTGTAGGTGGACTTTCCATGTGACAGACTATCTACGACAGAATTAGTTACAAGAATAAGTTTTTTTTCTTTGTGTGGTTTTGGTTCACGCTGTCGCAGAGACTTGACGCAACTTGTACCTTTTTTTTTTCTCTCTCTCTCTCCCTAGCTTCTCATCTGTCCATATTCTATTGAACTGGCCGGCGGAATACATAAGAGTAAAGGAAAAAAAGGGCATTCTTTCGTTTGCTTCCGTCACGATGGATCCAATCGCAAGTCCAACCTGCCAGACAAACACCCTACCAACACCCAGCGCCAACAGCAAACTCTCTGAAGAAGAAATCCATAGTACTCGACTCCACACCGACCCAAAAATGAGATCCTACTACCACCCCCCACAACAAGTCTGTGAAAAACCCACCCCAAGCTACGATGCAGAAACCCCTTCTCACCCCACAGACCCTGAACCGGGCCTCCCCCTCAGCTCGCCCAATATGAATTCCGAATCGCCCTTTCCCGAAGGCGGTCCCCACGCTTGGCTCGTCGTCCTCTCCGCCTTCCTCATGCTCTTCCCCTCTTTCGGCCTGCAAGTCTCCATCGGCACGCTGCAAGACTACTGGTCGCAGCACCAACTCTCTTCCATGTCCTCACGAGACATTGGCTGGATACCCTCCCTCTTCGTCTATCTCTCCCTCGCCCTCGGTATCTGGGTGGGTCCGCTATTCGACCGGTACGGCCCCCGGTGGATCGCGCTGGGCGGAAGTGCCGCGTTCCTCATCATGGTTTTCTTGCTGGCCGAGTGCAAGACGTTTTGGCAGATGCTGCTTTGCTGTGGCGTTCTGGGCGGATTCTCGTGTGCTGCGCTTACGACGACGAGTTTGGCGGTTGTCGCGCATTGGTTCAAGGAGAGGAGGGGGTTGGCGCAGGGAGTGGCTATGATGGGGAGTTCGGGGGGTGGGCTGGCGATTCCGCTGGTCCTGCGGACGACGCTGCCAAAGTATGGGTATGTGTGGTCGCTTAGGATACTGGGGTTTGTGTTTTTGGGGTGCTTTGGGGTGGCGAATGCGTTGATGAAGGCGAGGATTCCGCCGTCGGCGGCAGCGAAGAAAAAGGCGATTATTTCGCCCTCAATTTATGGGGATTTGAGGCTGAGCTTGTTTACGCTGAGTGTGTTTGGGTTCGAGGTGGTGCTGTTTGGGGGGTTGGGCATTTTGCCGACATATGCGACGCGGAGTACGAACTTCCCGCCTGATACTGGGTTCTATCTCATTGCGGTACTCAATGGGGTTTCTTGTCTTGGACGCCTGCTCCCAGGGTATGTTGCGGATAAGATTGGGAGGTTTAATACGCTCTTCATCATGATAGTCTTCACCCTATTATGGATGCTGGTGCTTTGGTTGCCTCTTGGAACTACATCACTGCCGGCACTGTACGCTTATACGGCCCTCTTTGGATTCGGCACGGGTTCCTGGATGGCTCTGACACCTGCATGCGTCGGGCAGTTGTGCAGAGCAGAAGAATTTGGCCGCTACTATGGGAGTATGTACTTCATAGCTTCCTTGGCAACCCTGGTCTGTATTCCGATTGGTGGTGAGCTCGTGGAGACGGTTGGACCCCAGCCCATGGTGGCCTTCTTTTGTGCAGTTCTTGGGTTGAGTTTGATTAGCTTTTTGTTCAGCAGGTGGGCCTGCGTGGGAAGGCGGTGGATATTGAAAGTGAAGGTATAGGATCGAAACTTCGATAGAATAACATAAATTAGGCTAAAAAGGGACCTTCGTTTCAGGGCACTTGTGCCGTCATGGAATAAAGACTTTGCAATATAAAGTAATCTCGACGAATAGACAACATGGTATATAATCTCTTGTTTTTGCTTTGCGTATACGCTGCTCTCAAATCATCAACATTCAAAGTCTTCAAGTCTTTGGTGGGTTAAGGAAGCGTTGCTTTTAGTCTCCTTAAAGTCGTACATTTCCAGTTAAACATTCAAACTGACGCCTTACTTGCAAACCCTAACCTCCATCCGTGCGCGTGGCCAGCATACAATTAATTACAGAACACACCAGTCAGACATTAGTATTTCATAGCATGCATTCGATGTACCTTTTTAGCTTTGGAAACGCTTTCCCTTGTCCAATCCTCCCATAAAAAGCCGTAGATAAGAGTTTTATTGTACAACAAGAGGACAAAAAAGCGCCACTAGGATAGCAGACAAAAACAGACCGGATCCAAGAGCGCCACCATCCCATTGCCATATCCATTTCCTCCCATTGCCGTTACTTCATTTAGTTTTTCTCAGTTGACGCTACAGTCTGTTTTCGCTCACCAATTGACCGCAATGGAACACCACATCCGACAGTATCCAAAATCTCAACGCGCATATCAAGAAACTTGTGCTTGGAATCTCCCTTCAGACTGCGAGGAGAGAGTGCGTTTGTTGATACTGAAGTATGGGCCGCAGCAAGGGTTTTGCTGTTTAAGCCTTGTTCCTGCCGCTTCGGCGTGGCGTACCATCGGCAGTGGCGGCCTTCTTGGGCTCCTTCTTCTTTGCGGGTTCTTTCTTCTCCTTCTTAGGACGACCAGGCTTCTTAGCAGGTGTTTTGGTCTCGGTCTCCTCCTTTGCTTCGCCTTCACCATCGGCTTCGTCAGTCTTTGCTTTCTTTTCAGCAGGCTTCTCAGCTTCAGCGTCAGCATTAGCATCGGTGCCATTGGTTTTCTCAGAAGTCTCCTCGACCTTGCGCTTGTCGCCGGTCTTTGGGTCATCTTCCTTGTCAGCCTCTGACTTTTCGTCAGACTTTTCATCGGATTTCTCCTTTGATGCATCGTCCTTGGCGTCTTCTTTTGTCTCGTCGGACTCCTCCTTTGTGGATTCGCCGTTAGTGTGAGCCTCTTCCTTCTTCTCCTCACTGTCAGGTGCGTCTTTCATCTCCTCATCCTTCTTTTCGGATTCAGCCGGCTTGTCATCTTCCTTCTTGTCTGATTCAGCCGGCTTCTCTTCCGACTTCTCGGCGTCGTCCTTCTTGTCCTCCTGCTTGGAGTCGCCGTTGGCGCCATCGGCCTTTTCATTGATCTGAAGTTCGGAGGCACGCTTCACGACATCGTTGCCTGACCTCTCAACGTGAACCGCAGGGTTTTCAGGGTCAGCATTCTTCTTGATCGTGTTGCCCTTGTTGGATTCAATGGCAAGCTCGCCCTGCTCCTTGACCTCGGCAACGGTGCCGCTGGGCTGTCCTGAACCCCAGTTCCATGAGACTGAAGAAAGACGCGTTAGCGATGATGTTGTACGTTCTCAGCCAAGGCATGATTGAGGCGACCGAGGCTGCATTAACGCGCCGGGATGCGCGAAGAGTGCGCGTGAGTGAGTGCAATGCGCCGGGCGGGATCTGACTATACGTAGTCGCGCCGGGCTCGATGATATGGGAATATAGGAAGAATGGGAGGCGCGTACCTTTGTCTCCTTGTTGAATTTCAGTGTCAGTCATTGTGTGTAACGTGGGTTTGCAATCGCAGGTGGTATGGGATGACGTTATGCTTCGCGAAAGAGCTTTTGGCGTCGCAGAAGCAAGGTAGTGAGGAGGTTGACGCGCAGAGTGCTTTCAAAGATGATTTGGTATGTAGCGACGATGTGCAAACAGTGATCAGAGACGCGACGTGTAGATGGAAGAGAAAACAGAGGAATGGGCGTCGGAGAATGAAGTGCTGGGAGGAGAGCTGCAAGATCGGTAGCTATGGCGGTGGATTGTGATTGGTCAGATCTGGCCCACGCGTGTAGCATTTCATGGGGAAGGTGGCTGGCACGGCGTCATCGGCCAGTCTGTGCGGCGTTCGCATTGCGCAAAACACCCTCTGACCCTGGTCCGTCTCAGAGTTTTACTGGATTTGTACAGAAGCGCATGTTCCAGAAGGCCATGGAAGAAGGCCATGTCCATCTCTACAACACACATGTATCTATCATCATATGAGAAAGGAGCAAAATACAACTGCCGAGGTGCTCGTATCCATGATACCCGGAGGATAGTTCAGCGGGAACCTCATTGTCGTGTACCCAATCACGTCGCCCTCTATATCACCGAACCTACAACCCCTTGCTCCCCAGCGCAGCCGTTATTTCGCTCCTTCTCTGGCCGTGCTCATAGTCAAAAGCTTGGACGAGGCCGTTGAGATGGCTTGCGGCAGCTAGAACAACCAGCACGTGGAATATCTGGTGGCTGGAGCCCCAAATATCATATTTTCCCGGACTCCACTTCTCGGGCACTCTGGCGGCATAGATGGCAGCACCGCTGATGTACAAGGTGCCCTGCAGCAAAATCCAGTCCAGTCCAATGCTTCTTCGCAGATGTTCGATTCCATACAGTTGTATTCCATGCAGAACAGGGAATACAGCAGAGAGGCCCATGAGCACGAACATTAGAGCTCGAAAGGGGCGAAGGGCTGGCGTGCGAAATTTGGGATGTGTGGATACGATGGAAGTTCCCGCTGCCAACGTCGTGATCATGGCCCAGTATGTCTTCCTCAGCTCGGGTTCATCTCGGAAGGCATAGTACAGCACTGGGACAAAGCTGCCCCATATCAAGAAGACAATGCCTAGATAGTCGAGCTTGTTGCCCCATACGGCTACCTCGTGCGAGTGATTTTGAATGGTGTGATACGTCCCGCTCATACCCAGACATGCCACTGCTCCGGCAAAGAAGCACCCAAATGCCCACACATCCTCTGTAGTTGCAGTCGCGTAGCGTGGTCCCAATGTGAAATACAGAGCAATGCCAGCCACAGCTGCGAGGAGAGCCCCGATGAGATGGGTGTAGATGTTGACCGTTTCGTTGTGCAAGTATCCAAGGCTCTTCCATGACTTGGAGTAGGAGTTTGACTGCGCTCGGTAACCAGTTTGAATGTAATGGTTGTCTTGCTGCCATGGAGATAACTCGTCCCATACTACTATTAGCTTTTCCTCTACCTTTTCCTCAATCTTTTTGCCGGCATCTGCGGCCTTTGAGGCTGCTTCCTTAACCGCGTCCATAATTGCAGTAAGAAACGATCAAAGTAGATATTAAGTGTTCACTTAATGTCGAGTATGGTTGTCCAGTGGTCGAGGGTTAAATGGCGTGAGGCGGCATTGAAGGACTCGAGCCAACTGGTACGTACTTCCAGGGACCTCTGGCAAGCTATGCCACATCCAGTGAACCTTGCGAGCATCACACGTCGCTTTTTGATAATCACCAAAGACTCAATAGTATTCCCGAAATCGATGACATGGCATGCCTGCTATCACAACGTCTCAGCGGGGTAGCGATGTGGTTCAAGTCAAGCTGGGGCGCGCTTGCCCCTCCATCCCACCTTGCCTCGATGGTGTCTCCTACTACGCGACTGTCTTTATCCAAGCCCACCATGGCTCGCAATGCCTCTCAGCAACGACACAGGCCGATGCTGAAAACATCTCTCGGCCTAAATTGAACATCTCATCTCCCGCACAATCATATCAACCGCCTCCATGAAGTCCACCGACCCCGTCCGTCCAAGCAGCCGCCGTGCTGCATCCGGCGCATGGAACCGCCTCAAGCCCGTCCGAGAAGACCTTCTCGAAAGCTACGGGCTACCCAGCAAAGGCGAGACGCGGTACCATACCCTTCCGCCTCGCCTGAACCAGCACACCCGCTGATTGTGCAGACTCAACGACTTCAAGACGCAAGAAACCTACCTCAACCGCATCATTGAGCGCTACATGAAACTCTGCGCCCTCAACCGCGAAGAACTCGACCACCTCTTCGCCTCCGCAACCGACACAAAAAACAGCGAAGCAAGCTCCAAACTCACAAGTTCCTTCTCCTCCTTATCTCTCTCCAAACACGCACCCCCAGAATACCAGAACACTAAACCACCTACTACAACTACTACCCCTTCCGCCCAGTCCATTCCACAAAAAGCGTTTGCACCCTCGATCCAAGAACTAGAAACCGTCCTCTCCTCCCTGCGTAAACTCCGCGAAGCAATCACAGCATCGAGCCGCTCCGACGCCTTTGCCCTGCGCGCCTACACCTTCGCCATCCATGTCAGCATCCTGTGCCACGACTGGGCCTCGTATCTCCCCTCGCTGCTCTCTCTGCTCAACATAATCCACCCGCGGAACCCTCTTCCACCATCTACCCTCCACGAATTCGTCGGACTCCTGATCCTCGATCAAGCGTGTCGCCAGTCGGATTTCTCGGGCGCCCGCCAGACGAAGCTGCAGTATGGGTACAAGGACTGGCGGGTTGAAGCCGTGCTGAGAGCCTTGGTTGCGGATGATTATGTGGGGTTTTGGCGTGTGCGCAGGGCGGTGGATGGATATCAGCGGAGCGTTATGGAGTGGGCGGATGGCAATATGAGGGTGCATGCGCTCAAGTGTCTAGGAAAGGCGTATTTGAGTGCGGATCGACCGTTTGTGGAGAGGGCGACAGAGAGGCGGTGGGAGGAGCTTGTGCAGGAGGGGGTAGGGTGGGAGTTGAGTGCGGATGGGGAGAAGGTGATTATTAAGAAGCCAAAGGGAGCGTGAGGTGGTGGATTGCGATGGAGTTGAAAACGCGTGTATTGAGATGCATACAATTGCGTGATCCAAGCGTCCAACGGGGTATCATTACAGATCGTTTTTACATCAATCATTCTTCCATCTCCTCATCTTCATCTTCCTCACCTTCCTCACCTTCCTCACCCGCATCCGCAGCATCCTGCCACACATCATCATCCATGTCATAATCCTCAAAATCCTCCATCTCCTCATCCTCTTCGCCGTCCTCGCCTTCTCCCTCAGCAGTCTCACCCTTAGCCGCCTTCTCCTTCCTCTTCCTCTCGATATTCTCCCGCTGAATACGTCGCCTCTCCTCCTTTTCTTTATTCTTCTGCTGCCACCTCTTCTCCAGCTCCTGCTCTTCGGCTTTACTCTTGGTAATAAATTCGTGCCAGAGAACCTTTCCGCCGCATACGTCTTCTTCGACTTTAGTAAGACGCAGCTTCATGCGAGGGCCCAACTCAATCAGCTTAACCGCACGTTTTTCCACACGGGGTTTAGAGCCGCGGGCGCGGGCGTGCGAAGTCTCGTCACCTGCCTTAAGTTTTTCTTTTTCGCGGCGCGAAAGCACTTTTTGGCGGACTGGGGCTGTAACTTCAACTTCAGCGTCTGTGTCTTGTTCCGTATCCGAGGCGGATGTGTATCCCGCTGCTGAGGGGTCTAGCATGTAGTCTGCAACGTCCTCGAGCTTGCCTAGGTTGGGAAGTGCGCTCTTCTTTCTTTCCCTGCTGCCTACGAGCTTTTCGGCTGCGTAGAGTCGTCGGATGGCTTTTGGTATTCCCACTTGCTTTGTTGTAATTGCATAGTGTCTCAGGCTGATGTTGATGGATCCGGTGTCCTCAGAGGGAGGCTCGCGGTTGAGGAGGAGAACTCGCTTGATCGAATGGAGAGGGGTAGTGTGCGGTTGGATTGGTGGAAAAAGACCTTGGAACATATCTGTCACGAGCTTCTCGAGATGCTTTGGTGGTGCCTTTTCTCCTAGCTTTTCCCTATCGCTATCACTTGTCAAGAAGTTGTTCATGACGAGCAATGGTGCGACCAAGTAGTCGCTTGCACCGGATCGCGGGCGCTTCATGGCTTTGATGATATCTTTGCAGAGAGAATAGTTTTCAACGCGGAAGTGGAGCGTAGGGCCTCGGGGAGTACGGGCGAGTCGAAGGTTTGTATTGCCGCTTTCTGATCTAGAGAAGAGAAGTAGATGGCTAACGCCTAGCGGGCCGCACATGACGAGGTAATCCTACAAGTTGTTAGGGATCAAGACAAAGAATGTGGGCCTTTGGATGAAGCATACCTTGAGCTTGTTCGCACGTCGTTCCTTGAGCCTAATAGCGGTATCGGGTTCCAGGCAATGCCTGACATCGTTGACGAGGTCTGAGATAGATTTTCCGACTCTAAGCTGTGTGAGCGGCTTGATTAAAGATTTTTGGCAGAACCCAACTCACTCTTGTGCACCAATCCGAATCACCATAGACTTGGGACCTGCCACGGGCTTCTTGGCCAATTCCTTGTCCTTTGCCGATTGCTTCTTTCTCGCAGTTCCTCTTCCACGAGCCATTGCGACAGCTCAATCGAACGCCTTCGGGCGGGCCTATAGCTTCAAAGTCGGCTTTTCCGAACCTCAGTCCTGATTTCTGTAGCACAGTTCTTTGGGAAACAAATCAGGGAATGGTGCAGTAATAGGTGAAAGCGGAACTTGGGGTGTGTGACTGAAAGCAGCCGTCGATGTCGTGAAATCGGCTGCTCTGTCGCGACCGGTCGCGAACTGGAAACTTTTCTGTGGGTCTGGTCCGCTTCGCCAAGATTTCGGTGGTCCATGCGTGCCATAGGCTGGTACCGCCTTCAACTTTCGCACACCGTTCCTGGACTCTTTTTTCATACCAAAATGCCTGGATTTGCAAAGAGAAAGCGAACCGAAGACGCGCGTGTTGCGACTGCGTCGTCGTCAAAAAAAGCGCGACCGTCGAGCGCACCGCCGAAAAAAGTTGTGGCGAAGCCCGCACCACCGCCAGAACCCGAGTCGAGCGATGACGACGAAGAGGAGGGAGACGAGGATGGTTCAGAAAATGCCGAAGACCAGAATGTAGCGAATTCATCTGGATCCGAGCAAGAGGCGGAAGCTGCTACGGCTGGCGCAGACGAGGCAAGGAAGACATTCGCCGACCTGGGCGTGCGCGAAGAACTTTGCGACGCTTGCGAAAACCTCAAGTTCACGAACCCGACACCCATTCAGGCCCAGGCTATACCTCTGGCTCTCCAGGGTCGTGATGTTATTGGACTTGCTGAAACTGGATCTGGAAAGACGGCTGCGTTCGTTCTACCAATTCTTCAAGCGCTGCTGGAGAAACAGCAATCGCTCTTTGGGTTGATCCTGGCGCCAACACGAGAATTGGCATATCAAATTGCACAGCAGGTTGACGCTCTCGGAAGCATCATCAATGTCAAGTGCGCAACGCTGGTGGGAGGAATGGACATGGTGCCTCAAGCAATCGCTCTGTCTAAGAAACCACATATTATTGTTGCTACACCTGGTAGGTCTAGTCTGCCTAACCCTGAGGAGCAGAAACTGACAGTATAAAGGACGTCTACTCGACCACTTGGAGAATACCAAGGGCTTCTCCCTAAAACACCTCAAGTACATGGTTCTCGACGAAGCCGATCGGTTGCTCGATCTTGATTTCGGACCAGTCCTCGACAAGATCTTGAAGGTGCTACCTAGAGAAGGACGACACACATACTTGTTCTCGGCGACTATGAGCAGCAAAGTTGAGAGCTTGCAAAGAGCCGCCCTGCAGAACCCCGTCCGAGTGAGCATCAGCAGCTCGTCTCATCAAGTCGTCTCAACACTGCTTCAACGATACATTTTCCTCCCGCACAAGTACAAGGACCTGTACCTCATCCACCTGCTAAATGACAACATTGGTCATCCAACCATCATCTTCAGCCGCACAGTCAACGAGACTCAGCGCATAGCCATCCTCCTCCGCACTCTCGGTTTCGGTGCTATTCCTCTTCACGGCCAGCTTTCGCAATCCGCTCGTCTAGGTGCGCTCAACAAGTTCAAGACCCAAAGCCGCGATATCCTCGTAGCCACCGACGTAGCAGCCCGTGGTTTGGATATTCCTGCTGTCGATCTCGTCGTCAACTTTGACCTACCCAGCGATTCGCAGACCTATGTCCATCGTGTTGGCCGAACAGCCCGAGCTGGAAAGTCAGGCAAGGCTGTTTCCTTTGTCACACAGTACGATCTTGAAATCTGGCTGCGCATCGAGAATGCGCTTGGTAAGCAGATCCCAGAGGAGGTTATCAACAAGGACGAGGCAATGGTGTATATGGAGCGAGTCAATGAGGCGCAGAGGATAGCAGTCAGGGAGATGAAGGATCTTCACGAGCAGAGGGGCAAGGGTGGTCGTGGAGGCAGAGGCGGCGGACGGGGTCGTGGCGGAGGTGCGAGAAGAGGACGTGACCAGATGGACACTGAGGAAGGTTAATTTCTCAAAAGTCTGCATGTATATTTTCTACGTTTCGAGTTGAAGTCCTTTACTAGCGTATACCCTACGAGCTGCTTGATCCGGTCCAAAAAAGCACCATGGAGAAGATGGCACCCAGGCTAGGACCGCAAAAGTCTGTTGTTTCAGTATTTACATAGATTTTAGAGTGTGTAATGATTAACTACCATGTGTCCTGAGCAAGTCCAAACACGATCCTGAGTAATTGTTCCCTCAGCCAAAGGCGCGTCCATAAAATTTGCAAGTACAACTATAGCTAAGAAGAGGAAATCGATGATCGCGGCGGGGGCAAGCATTAAGCGGCGACAATAGCGCATCTTTCTTTCCCCGCAAGGGAACCACAATTATTGATAGTAGCTGGTAAAAAAAAACAAGCCCAGACGGGCGGCATCGGCAACTGTTACAATTGCCTATTTAGTGTTACTAACAAACAACCTTCTCCAGTCTCTTTATATTTTGCATCGCTCTTTCCCATCAATCCCAGTATCAAAGCCCTCTCAAACCTCGCCCTAATTGTTATTTAATCCCTTCCCTAGAAAGAAACTTTGCTCAATCCCATCCACCCGACTCCCTCCACTACTCCGTGTGAGATTCCACAGAGGAAAAAAAACCATGGAAACTCCAGACGTCACAGTCCCCAACCACACCCCCATCGCCACGGCGCCCCGCGACATCGACGCCATCAAAGCGCAAGAAAAAGACTGCACGCTCCCCTTCTGGAACGGAAACGTAGCATTTAAACTCGGCGTCAATCTGCGCACAAGACTGCTCACAGAAGAGAGACCAGCCGTCGTGCACATTTCGACAATTAGTACCCCACCGCATGTCTTGTTTCACGCTGTACGTTCTTCCCTTCTCCATATGGCCCCTTCCCCCCTCCCCTTTTCATTTTTTTTGTTGCGATGGGGAAAAAAAAACAATTACCAGTAGAATTTCTACACACAAAAAAAAAACACCAAACAAAGGGAGAAATGGGGCAGTTCAAAACTAATATAGCAAACCCCCCACCTCCAGGTAACACACCCAGGCACCTCATCCGACAACGACGTCTGGGTCTCGCGCAAGCGCGCCGCCGTGATCCGGTTTGCCGCCAGCACATGGCGGCTGCAGAACCAGTACGGCGGTGACGAAGAGGCGTTTAAAGCGAAGCTAGGGCTGGGGCAGGAGACGGCGGGCCAGTATGCGATTCACGGGGGCGGAGTACCGGTTTTTATTAAAGGGTGCGATGGCATGGTTGCGGTGGTGGTGGTGAGTGGGTTGAAGCAGTGGGATGATCATCAAGTTGTCGTTGAGGAGATGGGGAGGTTGAAGGAGGAGATGGAGAGGGCGGGGGGAGTGGTGTGAAAAAAAAAGAGAGAGGTTGGTGGGGATGATGTGTTGTGGATTTACTAAGACTACTAGGCTTTGTATAACCATATATTTACATATATATTTTTGCCTTTGTTAAAATAAAGGGTCCTAAAGGTTCACTGGCAACAGACAAAATCACTCTCAAACACCACCACTACAAAAAAAGAGAACTTCTCAACATACTCGATGACTTAAATTGTCTGGTTCATAAGATTGGTATCATTACAACTTCATAACACTACTTCTTTTCTACCTTTCCCATCCAATAATCATACAACTGTCAGATTAAACCGGCTGATAAGCCTTTGATGCATTAAATTTCGCCAAGACGATCCAATTAACCAGCCTGGTAAAGACCAAGAGCGACAACATGAGGGTTGATCATGCTAAGGTTGAAGGGAGTAAGGTATGGGTCAGAATCAGTAAGAGCAACAAACATGGTGTCGTTGGCAGCAGGGTCACCCTCGTAGACTTCACCGGCAGGCTGGTAGGTGTATCCAGTGTTGTTGCCGGTAATCTCCAGAGGAGTGTAGGTGAGGTTGAGCTGCGAGACCCAGGCAACGAAAGCGGGGGCGCCGGCGACGGTGTCGGTGATGTATGACATGTTGGGGCCAACAGGCTTACCGGGGTTCTCCCAGGTCAGGTTGACGAGCTTGCCGGGGAAGGAGAGGGGCTCAGTGCGGTTGCGTGCGATGCCGGGGGAGCAAGAGTAGCCAGGGTGCTCAGTGGCGTTGACGTTTACACAGCTCTCATCGGCGGGGATGGTAGAGTCGGAGGGGTCAGAGGGGCGGCGGCCAGCAACCTCGTTTGGCTGGGTGTCGTTGGGAGAGAAGCGGTTGGGGTTAGGCTGGCTGTCAATGAACAGAGCCGGGAAGTTCTGCCATGCCAGACGAGTGGTGTTCTGAGGGCAGGAGCTGATGTATGGGGCAAGGTAGGTCCATGCCCATGACTGAGGGATACCAGTCTCAAACCATACGGGCATAGGTGGAAGGCCCATCATCTGACGGAAAGAGATTTGCTGGCGGGCCTCGGTAGCAATGGACAAGGAAAGCATGTTGGCGACCTCGCGAGAGTCCAGGTGGGCAAGGAATCCCCAGACACCAGATTCACCCCAGCGAGTCACCTTCATGTTGAAGTCAATGAACTCACGGACAGTGCGGAATGGGTAGTCGTATGTGCACTGAGGAGGAGCAGTCTCGCCAAGCATGTTGGAAAGGAGAGTGGCATGGCCAGTTTCCTGAATAGCCATAAAAGCAATGTAGGCGCGGTCCTCAGCAGTGAGGCCAGCGTCAAGGAAATCTTGCTCAGAGAAGACGGCGAGACCGTTGTTGAACAGATCGAGCTCAATCCACTCCTGGTATAGACCAAGAGTAATGGACTCGTAGTCAAAGTCGCTGTTTACCATATAACGAGGCTGAGTGCCATTGGTGCCGAGACCACCAGCTGGCATGTAGGGAATGGGCATAGGGTCCTGAGGCTTGCCATTGGTGTTGTAGTAAGTAGCGGTTGGGTTTGGTGGAAGAGGAGGAATGACAGTGCCAAGGGTGGTAGGTGCCTTCTCAGCTCCGGTAGTAGTAGGAGTACCAGAGTAGGGGCCGTGACTGGTGGCACCAGTTACGTCTGAGCTCCTTCGAGGAGGAGCCGAGCCAGCAGTGGTAGGGATGGCCTAATGAATGATCAGCTAGGCTCACAATTGGCTTTGAGAATTCTACTCACAGGAACCTGGACATCAGGACCAAAGCTCGTGGCGGGAGTCTCAGCTGGGTCAAAGGTGACGGAGAAGCTGGCATCCGCATCAGTGTAGCCCGGCACATCTGGCCTGGGAGCGGCGGCAGCGCATGCCGCAAGCACAGAAGTGACAAAAAGGCTCTTGGTCAACATGTTGAAGAGGGTTGTCGGTGGGTAATGTTGGTGAGGTCTGAATGTAGGGCGCATGTGCAGTTGAATATATACATCTAGCACAGATGCTGTGCACCAGTGACCGCATCACTTGTACGCAATTTGCAAGCAGTGTGTCAACAACGACTAGGCACGTCGGCTGAAGAGGGCTAGTACGACATGATTTCATGACTGAGCGGATGCGGCAGTGAAGGCCGCATTCATAGAGAAGTCAGCTAGGACATGGGTTTCTTGGAAATGCCATCGGGCATGCGAGGCGGGCAAATCAAGTACGCTATTGACGAAGATCGTATGCTCCATGCTTTTCGGGCCTGCAAAAAACTTGTCGATGCAGCGTGAACGCGTGCGCGCAGGGGGGCAAGATGGCAGGTGGATCGCAGTATTTGCCGCGTGCTAAGAACGTGACGACGTGATGACATGGTGGAGCAGTCGAAGTTTTGAGCCGCTAGTGTTCCCGCCCCGCAAATAGGCCAAGCGTTCCGATCTTGGTCGGGAGTAGCACAACGCTTAAGCCTACATCAGGTCTACCACCTGTGCTGAGAAATCAGGCACGTCCTAGCCAGCCTACTCCGCGGAGTCTTGCCCTTGGCTGTGCTCTTCCTCGACTATCGTGTCCAAACGTTTATCCACATGCTCGTCATCAGCCCGTCGCCTAATAACCAGTATGCAAGGCACAGATGCAGACAAATCTCCGCTTGGCTGCTACATGCGGACATGCGGGCATGCAAGCGTCAACCCGGCCCAAGGTGCTGGAGGCAGCGTGAGAAGAGAAAGATGGTCGTCTCGGCCAAGAGAAAAAAACAACAGACGCATGAAAGGCGCACGAACGAGATGAATTGAAACTACCTGGTGGTGCCAGTGGTGGTTGCTGTCGTCCTGGCTCAGCACAAGTGCGATGACGGATGACGTTTGACTTGCGCAACGTCCGCCCGTCTTTGTGTTTGGCAGATGCGGAGACGATGATTATTGGAGACGAGTCTGCAAAACAATCCAAGGCGACATCGCAACGACAGCGTTTGTAAGCAGCGATGCGTTACTTGCCTTTTTCCCCCATTCGCTACACCTGAATCATTTTGCGCGTGCCATCGGGCCCCAGTTTTCGCGTGGCGCAAGCTGGTAGCGGACGTACTTTCCCCGGTCATGATCCCTGCCCAGCTTTTCGTCAAAGTTGACTTCGAACTTGGTCTCGAGGTAGGTTGGCAGCTGCTTCGGCTCGTTTGTCTCTGAGCTACCATCGGCCATTTCGGCATCCTCTTGCACTGTTGGCCCTGAGTCGGCAGACACCGCCTGGCCAGGCGCCGACTCTCGAGTAGTGCTTCTGGTATAGCCGGTTCCACTGGCCTTTTCCATTATCGCATGTCCCGGGCTTCCCTTTTTGATTGGGTTTTTGAGCGGCGCCCGTTGCCGCACCCATTCAAGCATAACGTGCCAAATGTCTTTCCACGATGCATCTGTCTTGATCGATCCCGGCTTGCAATGGCTCATCGTCACCCTGAACCCTGCATGTCGTAGTGCTCCCCGTAGTGCTGCCAACGATGGGGCGGAACAATGAACTACCTTTGCAACTGCGCTGGGTATGAAGAAGAAGGGGTGGTGGTCTATCTCTGCAGCATCGGCCTTGGGAATGAGGGGATCGAGAACTTGCGTCTTTTGTGCGCCATTTGACTTTTCCAGTTTGGCTCCAAATGTGATTTCCTCCAACGCCGTGTGCAGCATGCCCTCTATGCGATCCATCGTCGGGTACGTTTGCCGGTCAACCTCATTGAGCTGCGCTAGTACTCTTTCGATGAAGCCAACGTTATGCAGCGGGCCACCGTACATTGGTCCCGAGAGGTGGGTCTTATGTCCGCAATGCTCGCAATGCTGATCCGCCGAGGGTCCCTGAGCAAAGCCATGCTTATACATCGGGTCGCCGTTTTTGTTCTTGGTGACCTTGTTCCGCGCCAGGAACTGCGTAGACCATGCACCACAGCCGCTTTCGCAGTGGTATACAAGCATCGTCTTGCCAGCAAGTAGCTTCACGTCGTTGGGCGCTTTTCGCACTCGTACAAAGACGCGAATGTAATAGTCAATAGAGAGGGATAACAGAGGCTCAATGGCCATGCCATAGCGAGCAGCCGAGGATGCTATCGCATGTAAGATCAAGCGCAGTCCACCCTCGTGACATGGCTCGCCCTTGAAGGGCAAGCCGCCATACTGCGAGTAAGTCTTCTCCAAGTATCCATGTGACGCAAATATGGCTGAATCGGTACAGGTGACACAGAGCAGTCCATCGTCATTGACCGCTTGGATAGCGGCATCGATAAAAGGAGCGGCAGTGCCGTACGGATCAAGGTCAATGACATCATAGCCCTTTTTGTCGCAGAAGCTGTACATGTAGGCTATAGCGTTGCCTGTGTTGGCTGTAATGGTGTCCTCTAGCTTGTTGTGCTTGACGTTGAGCTTGATCGATTCTACCGCCTTGGGAGACATGTCGTTGGCAGTGACAGCGGTTGCGAAGGGAATCTCTTTTGCATATCGGAGAGCACGCAGGCCGGTAGCAGATAGTGCGTCCAGGATACTAAAGGGTGGTTTCCAGGATGTTTTTTCTCCGCTCTCCACTTCTTCCTCGCTCCCGTCTGGGGCAATTTTCTGCTTCTTGGAAGGACCCGCGGTATTCTCCAGTTCAAGTTCTGCAAGCTTCCTCTTTCTAGTCGCTTCATCCTCGGCGCCGGAAGTTCCTGGCGCTTCGTCGACAGGCTCCGCCGCATCTCCCGCTGCCCGACTTGCCTGCGCGCGTTGCCTCTTGCGCTCGTTCTTCTTCCTGAACTGCTCATGCTTGTTCAATTTCCGCCGTATAGAATCCTCACCAAATGTCTTGATGGCCAAAACGCTCAGATCGCGATTGAATTGCTGGATAGGGTTATAAAAGACCTGCTGTTTCTGCGTCTCTTCCTTGGAGAGTTTGGGGTCGGTCGAAGTCGGGACGCCATGTGGGACGAGAATATGCGCCAGGCCCTCCTTGATTGTGGTGTACTCTTTTCCTTCATGGGATATATGCTGGCCGGCTTGGGGAGCTGCGTCAATGGTTTGCGCCGCCGCGTCAGCCATGGGAACATCGTTGGAGGCCATGGTGGAGGTTGTGTGGAATGCGCGAAGAAGAGAGCTACCGGTAGCCCATGCTTTGTGGGTAATTGCTGGGCGCGCTCGCAATCCACATATACGGCGGATCCAGGGGGTGACGGAGGCCAGATTTGAGGTTGTAGTCCAGTCAGACACGGGATATGACTGTGCAGTGAATATGCAATGTCCTTGGCAGGGCCGCTGTCGCGTCGAGCTCCAAATTTTTGGCTCCGGAGTTAAGCTTCACTAGCGTCTCCGTGCCTGACCCTTCCCCGCGCCATGCTTGCGCCGCACCTCATCTCAAGTTACATGCGAGGAATGGCACGTGAAGGTGAATCTCATCTACAGACATTTACCAGTATGGACATAACCTCATGATAATTGAAATCATGGTGGCAGATGCAGATGCTTGGCGCGTGTCAGAACCCTTCGCAAGCCAATAAACCAATGGTTGCCTGATACGTAATGGGCGCTGAGACTCTTGTGGCGTTTCACCGGTCGCCTGTCATCTTCTGGATATTATTAGTACAGATGATCGCCTTCCTCGTTCCACTATCTCTGCCCTCTCACTACTCCTCTCCCATCGTGCTGTGCACCCCTATACATCAAAATGGGCAAGCTCGTCCCTCCTCCGCCCAGCTATCGTGACGACCCTGAAGCAGTGTCGCTTCACACAACACCAGACGACTATGCCTACACTGACCTTCCAGAACCCTCTGGCCTGCCTCCCTCCTACAGCGACAGCGAAGCCAGCAACCATGTTCCCGCCTCAGCGATTCCCATCCGCCATGTGGCGCCACCGTCGACGCGAACAAACCACGACCGCCCCAGCTTCAAGTTGGGCAAGCCCTGCGTAGTCGAGACAGTCGATGTCATGGAGCCCACCTACGACACCGACCCAGACCAACTCGAAGAGGCAATCCGCGCCTACGCCAACTCGGCCCCCGTTCCCCTCATCTACATAATGGGCACGCACAAGGAAACAGTCCGCAAAAACGACAACAAGAGAGACACGCACCACGTAACAGACTTCCGCATCGTAATCAACCTCCAACACTACCTCCACCCAAACTTCGACCCCTCCGACACCTCCCCAATGTCCCTCGTCACCGTCCCCAACGGCGAAAAAACCCACCGCGGCACCATCCTCGCCCACCGCGCCCCCGGCGTAAAAAGCGACCTAGAAATCGGCACCAAACCCGCACCTTCGCTCACCGAATGGTGCCACCGCTACTGCGCCTCCCCCCGCATGCTCCGCATCTTCCGGCTGCGCCGCCAAATCACCGGCCTCGAAGAAACGCAGCTCAGAAACCGGATCATCGGGCTGCTCCGCTCCACCAACTACCGGGGCAACATCAGCGTCACGTTCCCCGTCGAAGAAGCAAACATTGACATCTACACCTCGAACCGCATCAATACGCTCCGTCTAAAAACGTGGGTCTGCTGGCTCTTCTACCTGTCTTTTCTCTGGATCTTCTCGTGGCCATTCTTGTTCTTTGCCACGAGAAGGTACGCCGTTATTAGGGCCGAGTGGCCGTTTTCGACGACGGATGAGCGCGGCGTGAAGAGGTATACGACGGTGAGCGAGGAGCAGTGGTTTGAGACGTGGAAGGTGGCGGTTCGCCGGTTGGCTCTGGAGCGGTTTCAGGGAGAGGCGACTGAGGAGATGATGAGGCGGGTTATGGCGAGAGATGAGGATCCGCAGATGCCGGGGTCGCTGACGGGGCATGCGGGCGCGGACGGGGCCTTGAGTGTGTTGAGTGAGGGGTTGAGGGTTACGAGGTTGATGCAAGGGGGTTGCGAGGTCAACTTGAGTTTTGGGAGAGCGAGGAATGTGCATGGTGGTGGGTGGGGATACGATTGTTAACCGTGTGTGTATGAGGAGTTTTTTTTTCTCCCATACCGTCCCGGTTTTTCATTTAAGCGTTCTAATCTTTCCGACTTGTTGTTTGAATCATTTCCAACAATCTTTTTATTCACGCCCACCCCCAAACTTCCTCAACTACCCATTCAAACTCCCCAAACCGCACCTTGCCTCCCACCGCTAAAACCGCATCCCGGAAACACACAGCACAGGGCAAAAACGCCTCGCCAATCCTCACTGTCCTCTGCCACTTGGCCATTTCGTCCGCCCCTTCATTCTCCGCCGCCCACTCCCAGCGCTCCACTGTCGTCTTATCCCCCTGCATCAGTATACCCTGTACATACTGTCCCACACACACAATGACGCCTCGAACCCCCGCAGCATCATCATGACACCGCAGTACAACGCAAAGTTTCTTGCCCCCAGTGCCGGTCGCAGGGAAAGACGTCGACTTAATCTCCTCATCCCTCCACATCTCCTCGTGCGTCTTCACCGCCTCAAGCGCTGGATGATACGCATGTCCCACTTCAAGTGTCAGCTCTTCAGACAGGGGATACATATCACCCTCATCCACAGGAATATTGGGATCACCGACGCTGTAGCGTGAATCGAGCCAGTGCTTCCATGTAGAATGCGTTACGTTTTCCCACTCTTCGTCTTCCGGTGGCTTTTGGGTGCCGCCGTGGGATGCGCCGGACGGCTGGATAGGCACTGATGTCGAGGTACCGGCGAATGCCCATTCGAGGCGTTGCTGGGAGCTTTGGTCGACGCTGTTGGGGGCGGAGGCGGTGGATGTGGTGAAGGCTTTGTAGACGCGGATGTCGACGAAGGTGCGGAGGGGACTGGTGAGAACGAGGGTGTTTGTAGGCTCGAATTGGTGCGAGGGAAGGTTCAGTGGGTTTTTCTCGGGGAGGTGGATGGAGTAGGGGACCTCGGTGCCGGGTGGGAGGGGGTATGGGAGAAAGTAGATGTATTCGCGCTTACTGATATTTGAAGCTGCGCCCGAGACGCCCTGACGTGTCGGTGTGTTTGCATTTGTTAGGGTCGTTGCTGAGGTGTTGTCACTTCCGATCGAGGAGGCTATGCTGGTAACAGATTCGGGAGGCGTGTAGACGATATCGCTAGGCCCGGTACTTGCTTGGTCGCTCATGGCGCTAATTGAGACTGTGTTCGCTGAGGTTTCGCTACTTTTGGAGTCGTTGAAATGAATAGGTCCGGTCTGGCTGCTATCTCCGGTCGCCATTTTAGGCTAGAGTATAAGTTTTGAAGTGAAAGAGATGTTCGAAAGTTGCAATTAGCCTGATGATTGCTCAGTTAGTGTTACTCGGCACGAAACGCGAGTATCAAGGATTAAATATATACCGATCGGGATGCTACAACAGACAAGCTTAGGAAATGGTGTGCGTGGGTGGTTAAGGGGAAAAAGTTTAGGTTGCATCAATGTGTGTCGAAATGTACGCGAGGGTACTGCGGAATCCAACACTCACCAAATGAACCCTATAGAACTATTGTGCAAAGTCTTAGCCTTCTATCCCAGCTGTTGTGGTATATCTGAGTTTGACATTGGCGTCGAGTAGTGATTGCGGAGAAGCCGAGGTGGGGATGTCGTGGAGCAACGGTCCCCACTACGTCACGGCTGTTGCCGTGGGTCTTGAAAGACCAACATGCAAATCATCACTCCAAGAAGATTTCTGGAAACGGCAAACTAGCAATCTAAAATTTGGTTGTCATAAACCATAGATAGGCTGCTATTTTTTCTATCCATAAATGCAAAAGTGGTACAATCTAATGCGAAACGCTCACAGGGGTATCAACTAATTCGACACAAAAGCGACAAACGACCTTGAGCTCTCCCATGCAACTCGACAGTCCAAGTCATGACTATAATCCGTACACGGGTTCATCTTCTGAAACTCCATCTCCTCTTCCTAGCCAATGTCTCAGTCTGGGCCCTAGCCAATGATGGCATAGGTGCTCCCTGGCCATCAAAGGTAGGAGCCCGATCTCTCCTCTGAAAAGTTTTGGCTCTGTTCCAGGCGCGCTCTCTGATGCTTTCTCCTCCATCAGCGAGCTCTCTTTCGCGCTGTCTCCTCTGTTGCTCTTCGGCAGTTTGTTGCTTCCAGCCTCCTTCGGTCCTATCCTCCTGCTTCTCTGGCCAGAGTATTTGGTGGATGTAGACGGCCCGGACGTTCATGAAAATGACGAAAAACCACATGGCTATGAGACCAACGGTCATGACGCAGCCAATGTATGCGATGGGCTTGTTGTTGTTAAGGCATCGGGATATGGCAAAGGTGGACGTTGTCAGTGCTGTGTTGGGGAAGATGAACGAATACCACGTCATGGCAAAGTCCATCTTTCCTCGTCTGGCACACGACCAATGCGCACCGACACTTATCAGGAAGAACCAGAGAGCGAGGCCCCAGAGCCAGAGTCCGAGAAAGTTTGCGCAGATCATGCCGACTTTGCCTGCAAGTTCGCCGTTTCCTTCTCCCATGAAGTCACTCGCGACAACCCTCGGAAGTTCTTGGCCCATTGTGACAACTCCTGCTATGGTGAAACCTGAGGGACCAACGCTGATGAACATACCGGGGCGAAGCGACTCCTTAGGGAGCTTCTGCGTCATGAGGCGGTAGATGAAGGCAGCATAGATCATGAGCGAGACAAGGAACCCAATTCCTTGTATGACGTAACCGGTCAAGATGATGATAAGGGCTGTGGTTGAATTCTCGACCTTGGGGGCTAGGTTGCCAGCGTGTGGGCCGATAATGAGCAGTGGGTAGGCGGGGAAAATCCAGATGGGTGTCATTTGGGAGATTGTAAATGTCGTTGTGGACCACCTAGATTGGTTAGTATGCACGTGAGCGAAGTGACTGCTAGGGATGACCTACATGAGCAAGTAGATGCCTACAGAAAAGCAGACAGCAAGGCCGCAGTCCATCCAGAACAAGACAATCATGATTTTCTCTAACCAATTGCCCAGGCCTGGATGGTGCACACCGTACTGACTGACGTTGATCAGAATGATGCCGAAGCTGACTACGGCGGCAGGAATAAACAAGCTTTCAGTTGGATGCAAAAACGAGGCCTTGAAGGTGCGGGGGTAAAAGTAGAAGCGCAAAGAAATCATGACGCAGTTGAATAGGAAGAAGACGATGTTGAGGATGAAGAAGATGCAGCCAATGGCGTAGAGGCCTCGAAAGCGGAACGGAACACTGTACAGGGCATTGGCAATACCTCCAGTAGCCATTGTAAGACAGAACCAGGTCCAGGTAAAATGCCGGATTCGCTCTTTGAAGCTCAGCTGCTTCCTCTTCTCGGGCACATCATCCTTGAGGCCGCCTCGGGCGCTACGTCTGGTGCTGAAATTGCTGATGATGGGAGCCAAAGGCCTAGGTTCCTCGGTCTTATCAGATGCGTTTGTGTCAGTCTTTGAATCGTCGTGGCACGCATCCTCGACTTCTTCTCTCTGTATCTGCTCGCGCGCACCGTTCCCAAGCTTCTCGCCCTGGTGGCTTAGTGGCAATGACGAGTTTAGGTTGGGGTCATCAAAGGGATTGTGTTCCCTCGCGTCCGGAAATGGGGTTGCGACGTTGGAGTGACTGCGCCATTGTAGCCGTTCCTCTGCACTCGACACCGACTCGGTCGATGCACGTGATGCCGGCCTCTGGATGCTGGCAATAGATGGGAAGCTGTCGGCGGGCGGCGGGCGGCTGATTGCGAGATGCTGGGCGGTTCGGTTCATGCTGCCAAGTGCCAGGTCGCAGGGGACATGCAGGGCGTAAGAATAGGTGGGATAGGTAGTATGGTGGTGTTGGTGATGTCACTCTTTGTTCCCGGATTGTTTTTTCTCCACCGTGATCCACTCGTCTCCAGTTGCTGCACCGAAGAAGAAGCGGCGGAATCCGTCGTTCAGAGCTAAAACCCAGAGTCAGGAGAGACTGGCCCTCTATGTATCTGCCCTGTCCCCTCCGAATTGCGCCGCTACCTGAATTCTGACAAGGTCTCCATACCGTTGATCTGCCGCGCTTCCAGCCTGGACGAACCAAACTCCCGCAATCCCGCCATGGCGGCCACACCATCTCGGCTATCTACCCGGCATCCCTGCTGGCACTGAAGCCATTGTCCGCTCCAGCCTCATCTACAGCAGTCGTGTCCCTATTGAACAAGACCATAGGAGAGATTGTTAGACAATACATGATTGGGCGGAGAATGTTGGCATGCAACTGAAGGGTGCGCCTCTTCCGGTGAAAGGCTTGGTGGCGGCGTCAACTCGGCATGGCAACTGCGCCGCGGTCGGACCAGGATAACAGTAAGCCCAACAAACGAGCCTTCAAGTCCAACCAAGCCCAATTCTAGGGCATCTTTACTCGCTTTATCTCTGAAATTGCCAGCGTCCATCGAAAATACATAAACTTCCTGGACCTCCAGTAAGCATACTGCCATGCGTCTGAATAGGATGAGTTGCAAGCACGCGACACAGACGATCGAGCCTTCCAGCTTGACTTTTCCATTACGGCCTCTCACCGTGATGCTGATTGACACATGTGCACATATCCAAGACTGTTTCTGATAAAATTTCTCTCGACCATTTGTACTTAGTCTATTTCATGGACAACCTCCAAGTATGCCATTGGCCACATGCCGCACTCTGGCGGAACTGAAATAGCCGGACAACACCAAACCACCACCAAAAGTAGCCACTTTGAACGCTAAATATTAGCGCGCTATACGAGTTAAATAGATGCCTAAGTTTTTAGAGAGTTAGACCTTATCTGCAACGGTACAGCTGCGTATTGAGTTAATCAAGTGGTAAAACGCTAAGAAACTAGCCCTTGCGCTTGCCTGAAATGTCTGGCCATTTCGGTTCCGCGAGAGCCGCACCCTTGTTCGACGTAATCACATAATCATTCTAGATCACAATATCAACCTAGACATCGAGCAATGTTCAAACTCTAAAAATTTTGCGCCACCCTCACAAACGCTTCAAGTACTCGGCATAGTTTCCCATCGCGATGCTGGTGCATGCAAATGTCATGCAGCTCGTGGATCCGAAAATCATAAGTAGTATACACCAAAGTTTGTATAGTTTGGGTGCACTGTTAAGTTCAGCTTCAAAAAGCCGAACAGCGCAGCACTATGACATGCAAGGAATCAACCGACAATCTCATACAGTCCCAAGGTCGAGCTCTTTTCAGAAAAGCAAATGTGACAAACGACAGAAAAAGCAGCCATCGGCACCCTGGTGGCTGCACGGCCGTTGTCTGCTACATGCAGAACGGCTATAGACTTTACTATAGCAGCCGAGACATCCGGTAGTCTCTACGAAAAGATTTACAAATGCTTACTCCAGACTCAACACTATACCATTCTTAGTATAAATTAACGCCCTACAATTAGGAGACGAATCGGATATCGAGTTGTATCTAGCAAGTAACAGGTCTCTAAAGGAGCAAATCAAGCAGCCCATTTAAATCCCATCAATGTTATGTAAGCTGGGGCCTCGGAGGTAGAGCTACACCTTGTCAAGGGCACCGCACTCATAGAACATCACACTCACAGTACATATATGGCTAATGGCTTTGCATCATGTAGTGGCAATCAAACCAGCCTATTTCGATACGACGATGTTGGCTTTGAAAAAAAAAAAAAAAACAAGATTTTTTTCGCTCTTCGTGCTCTTTCCATGCTAGTGATGATGACCCCATGAGCACGTACTTTGAGAAATCATATCCTCCCTGTTGGAATCAAAGAACGAGGGTAAAGCAAAAGCAGGGTAGATAGGGGGTGAATATCTGGAGTAACGAAGGGATGATGAACGACGTGGACCTTGATCTAGTTGTCGGCGAATTACTTTATTACTTTTGGGTTAGCACGAGTAGCTATCTCCATACTAAGTTCGTTACATTTTTACTAGTTTAAGGAGAGTACCTCAATCCTAGCTATACTTCTATTTGACACTTAGGTAATTATACGCTCTTTGTTGTGGCACAATACGTGATCGAGCTCAAGAGATCAAGGGGCGACCCGTAATTGAGTAGATAGAAAAAAAGCTGAAATCCAATTTCTGCCAAAAAGAAATTGATTGAAGAAGGTGACTATCCACGGACGAAAGGAAATCATAACATATACCTACAGTCTAATCACGCGATGCTACATCACAATGCACACTTCAAAGTCACCTAGGTTTATTGCCTATAGGCTTTACGCTATACCAGGCCCTTGAATCATTATTATTACCTTTAACTATATCTAAGAAGAAAACAGTATAGAGACTTATTGTGCGAGGCACGCAAGGATACTCGTAACCCTGGGCGAAACAATTGTCCGATCTTAGGTATAAGAGCAGGACTTCTTGTGCTGTAGATAAAGCATGAAATTTGATGGCTTTTCCCTTGCAGTTGTCCTCTTTGACTACGATTCTTCTTCTATCTAACTGCCAACGGCGTGGTGCAGGTAAATGAGAAGGTAGCTCGTATCCTCCAGAGTAAGTCTTGTGGCTCGATACGATCTACATGTTATGGGCTGGGCCTTTCAGGATACTGCTAGGAGCCAAAGGTTATTGTATTGCTTAGGTCTATATGAAGTAGCGAAGGTCTAGTGTCTACTTATAGTGTCCGTTCTCTTACTAAGCTAAAATAGGGTAGGTGTATAACCTACCCCATAACACTACACCTGTTTATGATTTATTTAACATGCTAGTTAATTAGGATCAAGAACGTGCATATGAATGCAAAAGAACTCACTAAATTCCAAAAAACCAAGTTTTCGCTTCATGTGGTTCCAAGTTACGCACTACTCGCTAGTATCCTTTGTTCTCGTGAGTCGATACATTGACGCCCCGATGCTCCGACGCCCCGATACGCCGCCCGCTATAGTACGACGATCAAAAATGGGTCTTGGTAACTAATGAGGCATTATTTTGTATGTTTTTAATATAGCTCTCGTACGAGGGTCGTCTGCCATCTGTAGGATAAAACCTATCCTTTTGCGCTGCTGCTTGGCCATGACAAACATCTTTCAGAGAACTACTGTGACACAGAGAAGATTCCAGACACGTAACTTGAATACTGGTTCTTCACCATGGGGAATCCACATCATTCTTACCACGTCTCTGCCTTTTTGCAGGCCAAAAATCTATTAGTGATGTTTGGTTTCATGCTTGGAGCAGTACGCGAATCTATCACCATTGTATCTTGACAACTTGCTGACTAGAACGCAGGCTATCTTGCAATTCATCCTTACCCGCTTCTATAACTTGTATTTCCACCCTTTACGCAAATGTAGGTCAAGTCTATTCGTCCGAATGACGTCATCCACTAAGCCATCTCACTAGTCCCCGGCCCAAGACTCGCAGCAGCCACTGGACTCGTTTTCTCCTACAAGGTTCTACGTGGCGAAGAGGTTGCATGGGAAGCAGAAATGCACAGGAAATACGGTGAAGTTGTGCGGCTTGGACCTAATCGATTGAGTTATGTGACACCTGAAGCCTGGAAAGACATCGCTGGCCCTGGAGCGGGTAAGCGCCTTGAGAACACAAAAGACCCGGCAACATTCGGACCAGACTTCGCTGGTACCTTGTCTTTAGGCTCTCAGCCAGATACAATGGTTCACAGGGCGCATCGAAGGGTCTTTGCACCGGCATTTAGCGACAAGGCTTTGAAGCTACAGGAGCCATTGATCCAAGCTTACCTCAACTCACTCGTCAGGATCATCAAGAACAACGCAACAGCTACCCCAGCTGTTGGATTTGACCTTTCCAAATTACTCAACTGTATGACCTTTGATGTTATGGCGGATCTAGCTTTTGGAGAGCCTCTTGGCCTGCTCGAACAATCAGAGCTATCACCTTGGGTCCAGGCAGTCCTTGGAAATGTCAGAAGAATTTCGGTCGGACGTCTGGCACGCGAGTACAAGGGATTGAAACTCCTGATTAAGATACTCATGACTAAAGAAGTCATGGAGGGCGCACGTCTCCACTACAACCATTCCTATGAGCGGGTAGAGAAGCGGCTGAATCGAGGCATCGACATCGGGAAACCCGACATATGGAAACTTGCCATGGAGAAGGCCGATCAAGTACCAGACATGTCAAAGAAGCAGATGGCGGCCCACGCACAGGCATTCATGATGGCTGGAACAGAAACGACTGCAACATTACTAAGTGGCTTGACATTCCTCCTACTACAGCATCCACATTACATGCAGAGACTGCAGGACGAGGTGCGTGCACTAGGCAAAGAGGACTTGAACCTCGAAAACCTAGCCCGTCTGCCTTTCCTCAACGCATGCATTCAAGAAGCCTTAAGGGTCTACCCGCCTGCCCCAATTGCCTTTTTCCGCATCACACCCAAGGGAGGGAACATGATTTGTGGACAATGGATACCAGGAGGCGTAAGTACATCCTATTACAGAAGTGCGAACTACATAACATACCAACTAAACCTACTATCACTGCAGACCACCGTTGCTATCCCTCACTACGCCGCCTACCATCACCCTTCCAACTTCAAAGACCCCGATTCCTTCATTCCAGAGCGCTGGCTTCCAGGATCCGGATATGATAGTGATCGCAAGAATGCGTGCAATCCGTTTTCAGTTGGGCCGCGCAACTGTATTGGTCAGAAGTAAGTTCCTTTCCAGTTTATCTGAAAAGATTTTCCAAGAAAGGAAAGAGAGAAACAGAAAGCTAACAATCTGGGTATGCAGCCTAGCTAATCATGAGATGCGTGTCATTCTTGCGTCTCTTACGTGGCACTTTGATTTTGAGTTGTGTCCGGAAAGTGCGAATTGGCTTGATCAGAAGGTGCATTTCTTGTGGGCTAAGGACCCTCTTCTTGTAAAGGCAAAGTATATCAGATAGATAAATAGATGAATCAATGGACGGATGGGTTGGTTTGGGTGGAGTTTATAGAATTGTGCTTGAATTGTAGTCCTGTTTTCGTTTGATGATTTCACAATGTGGATATACTGTAAGCGTGCTTTGATCCCGTCTGACGCTGAAATCTAGTCTTATCAGCTTGCTTGCTTGGTTTAATTTGATTCAGTACCACTCAGTTTCAGCCGCATTGTACTCAGCTACACGTTGGTAAATGGGTAGAGGTAAAGGTAGGGTAGGGTTGCCAAGAGTTGTGTAGAGGGAGGGTAGGGTCTTTCGTAAACCCAACCCTACCTCACCCCTACCCGCGGCCCGTGCGACCACTCCATACCTCATGGTAGGGCTTGCCAATCTGTCAGTGTAAGAAAGTATCTAATTCAGCTCGTTACGATATGTGTCTAGCGAAGTCGTAAGATATGTTTCATCTTCTTTCAATCTCACTTTTGAATTTCCTGCCTTCTCCAAGTCTCTTTCACTGTGTATAACGACGTCATAGTCTAATTTCCAGCGTTTTCACTACAGTCATGTGATCGGACTAACCACTGTTGGCTTTCAATGCTTCACAAGCCCACACAAGGGACCATAGAAGTTTCGCAGCTCTGCGACTGTGCTCTTTCCTTTGAACTCACTCGCGAGTGTTGTCAAAACACTGGCTCTTACCGCACAAACTAAAACGCCTTCCTTTCTGCACGACGACCAAGATGGAGTAAGTACGACCCACATATGTATATTCAGTCCCTAACAAATATAGTCCATGTGACCCAATCATCAAGCTAGTTTTTCAGAATCCCACTGGTGGTACTGTGAATCTTAATGTTCATCAAGGGGTACTTTGCAAAACTTCAGAGTTCTTCCGAAAAGCGATAGATCTAAAACAGGCCAGCTTGAGCAAGGATCTAACCAGCATAAACCTTTCTGATGAAGATCTGGATACGGTCAAGAAATATATCAAATGGCTCTACACCAATGAATTCCCGATTGAGTTGTACAAATCAAACCAAGGCATGAATGATGAAGAGGCCAAGGCAGCAGATGGCGACACAGCGGAGAAAGTCTTCATCTTCCTTGCAAAAGCATACGTCTTTGGAGAACAATTCAGGGATACAAAGTACAAGAATGCGGTTCTTAGAAACATGTTTAAAGCTCTTAAGACATGTCCGTGGCAGCCCGGGCCAGAGAGTGTGAAGATTATCTACAAAGGCACTCCACCCAATTCTCCACTTCGGCGTTTGATCGCTACAGACATTGCGTACATGCTTTGCGAATGCTCTACGGAAAACGACAGTCTCGACTTTTTCGATGCATATCCCAGACGAGCACTCGCAGATGCATTGAAAACCACGATTAGAACGCGCGGCCTACCAGACGACGACCTTCCTACGATCGAGTCGTTTCTTCATGACGAGAGTTCGCAAGATACCTCTATGCAGGAACCAGGATGCTAGAGCTGGTGTGAATATAGAACTTGGCAAAAAATGATGGACAAGACATCTGATAAAACATGCATATGGTTTTCTCGGATGAGTTGTGAGATGTACAGGTGTCGAAATGGTCGCCGCCATAAAGGTCCAGCTTGTAGACTATTACGGATCAGGCTTGATACATTGAAATTTAATTCCACCCTATGACATGCGCTTTGGCATTTGGCTGTGATCATGAATATCCTGCTAGACCATTAATTTGCACCGATGACATAGGTACAGCTCTTAACTACACGAAAAGAGGAAAAAGAGGTCTGCCATAAAAGAGACAAACACTGCAGACATTTACTCTCGAACAAGTCTACACCACTATGCTCTAACAGGTCTGACATGGAGAGAAGTGAGACTACTTCTCTCTCCTCCGTCTAAGATTTCCAAGCCCAGCATGAGATGTGCACAGCTACTCTGAAGTCCTCAATCACCCCTATCTAGAATATCGCGCTACCACCTCCGCGATCATGCTTCATCCTAGACATATTGTAAAAGAAGACAAGCCACCTTCCATCACTACTGCAAAAACATCATCACACACATAACGCAACCTTCTCGATCACAACAAAAGCTTTCATTGATGTAAAAAGACTGGGTATCCCACAGCACAAACCAAAATCTACTAAACCCCACAACCACGCCCTCCTCACTCAGAATCACTATCCACTACGAACCCGGCCCTCGTATTCCGCTTCGCCGGCCGTCTAGTCGGCACAGCAACATCATCGTCGTCATCGTCATCATCCGAATCCGCATTCGTCATGGTAACATCCACACTCTTCTCAACAGTTGACTCTTTCCTCGGCGTAACATCGCCATCACTCACCGTCGATGCCCCAGGATTTTGCGAAGAGAGTGGTGTCTCATCCTCCTCCTCTTCATCACCTAAAGCATTTCCAGCAGCTTCAGATGTAGCTCTGCTACTCGCGCGATTCTCATCTTCCTCATCGTCGTCGCTATCATCAAACAGCGCCTTGCGTTTCGGCGGACTCTTGCGCCGCTTACTCTTCTCCGTCGCATCATCTGCTTTCCGCTTTTTCGAAGCAACAGGTTCCACGGTACCCAGGACGAGGGATTTCTTGAAGACCTGCATGTTTTCCTGGCGGATGGCTTCTTCGCGGGCGAAGAAGGCGGCATCTTTTTCTGCATCCCAATCCTCGTCGTCCGAATCGTGGACGAACATTGTGCTGAGGGCTTTGGCTTGCTTTTCGATTTCTTTTTTGCGGCGGGCTTCGGCACGGCGGTCTTTCTCTTCGTCATCGAGTTCGACGGGGGTGCGTTGGCGCCGCCGCCGCTTGAGTTTCTTGCGGGGGGCGTCGCCTTCGCGTGCTGTTGGACCGCCTTGGGCATATTCTCCGTGGTCTTCAGGGTCGTCGTCTATGCCGTTGTCTGAATCGTCATCGAAGTCGACGCGGCGTGTTGAGCGGCGTGTTGCAGCGGTCGCGCTGCGGAGTAGATCTTCTGGGGTTTTGCCGTCCTCGTATGTTGGCGGATCGAATTCAAACTTGCGGATGAGGTCGATAGACTCTTGGAGTTGGGCTGATGTGAGGTTTGACGGTACAACCCATACAGCATCTGGATCGTGATGTTCGCCCAGTCGTTCGAAGCCAACCAACTTCATGAGTAGTCGTAGCTTATTGTCTTTGAACATGGCAACACGGCGTTCCTCGGTATCGTGTTTGATCACTGCACACATCAGTTAGCCAAAATGGAGATGATCTTCCAGAATCTTGCTTACCAATGGATGGAGGCTTTGCCGTCTCAGCCTCTGTATCTTCAGTTGGTGCTTCGCCTTCAGGGTGCTCCACCTCTGCAGTCAATAACTTCTGTGCTTCTGCAGCCTCTTCCCATGCCTTCCGCTCCTCAGCCGCGGATGTGAGAACATCTCGGACCCATCGAAGGGCATCTGACTTAGACTGATTGACAAGCACGCCAACAGCCACACCGATTTGTTCTGGTGGTTCTAGGCCAGGCTTGACTTCCAGCTCTGCCGGCGCTCGTGGTGCTTTGGTCGGCACCTCACGCTCGTACCCGTGTTCAAGGAAGAAGAGAGTCGCTGGAATCTTGCTGAACAACATTTCGACTACGAGCTCTGGCCTCTCCTGCACCTTCTTCACTACTTGCCTGAAGAAGTGCTTCATAAACTCGTCCCATTCCTTGTATACTGGCGACTCGGGATCGAGGCCTCCAGGACCCTTCATCATCTTGTTGAATAGATGGAGAATGTCGACTCTGCATAGCAAAACTCCAAGCTCCATCTTGAACGCCACGCGGTGGAAGAAGCGATGTGCACGCTTCAACTGCTCAGTATCCAGATCATTAAAGTACCTAGTGAAGGCCACAAAGGTATTGATACTGCTCTGGTTCACAAATTTTGCTAAAAAGCGATGAAAGTCAAATTTGCGCTCCGAAACAGTCTTCTGGGCTTGTTGAATGTCTTCGGTCTCGGAAACATGGCCCTCCTCTTCTGCCTCTTCGCCCTGTTTTTCTGCCTTCTTCTTTTTAATCTTCCGCGTTCTTCGTTTTGATCGAATTTGCATATCCACATTCTGCTTGGAATAGCGCTCCAACATCCGCAAGAAGACATGAGATAGCTCAGTGACAGCGTCTAGGTAGCCGAAACCTTGATCCTTGTATGATCTCAAGATGGCGACTATCCGGTCGTGTGTTGCTTCTTCATAAAAGATGCGGTTCTGGATGTTTTCAGCAATCTCCTGGTCATCTTCTAATGCCGACTCGGACATTTCATGAACGGTGAGCAGGATCTGTGTGAAGCACTTGAGTCCAGCATTCAGATCCCGCCATGCCTTCTCGTCTTGGCTCCTCTGCATGAAACGGTTGAGTAGGATAAAGGTCTCCTGGTTCATGACTTCGGCGACCAGACCGTAGCTTTCATCTTCTGCAGACAAAACCTCTGGACTCTTGGGATCAGCGGCTCTCTCCTTCATTGTCCGCCGGCGAGCGCATTCTGCTCGTAGAAACCATGAAACAAGGTAAAAGAATTGTCTGGGGTGCCGTGTCTCGACTCGTTCGGTTTCACGCTCAATGGCCTTGCGGAGGTGTAGGAATAGGGGGTTGAATGACGAGTCGAGGAACTCTTCAACAAAGGCTTTGATGTGCTTTCGGGCTGAAGAGGTCAGGGGTACTGGCAGATCAAACTCCTCCCTCTCCTCAGCGCCGTCTTGCTTGCGTCCGGGTCGCCTGGGCTTGTTCCACTTTTTGGTTTCATCCATCTTTTGCATACTGGCCTGCGCCTTGCCCAACACGTCCTGTCCCGAGATTGTAGTGACTTTCTCGTCGTCTCGTTTTATCCAGATCATTGTGCCGAATCGGTTGTGCCTAGTTGGTGCGTTGCGTGCATAGCCTGCAAGCATGGCCTTTTCCTTCTGGATCAGGCTCTTAAGTTCATCGTTGTTCTTTGAATTCAACTTCTTATCCTCCATGAACAACTTCTCAGCGTCGATTCCCTTGAGAAGAAAGAACAGAATCTCGAGGATTATGACGTCCTGACTGACAAAGTCCTCTCCAATACTTGACGCAATACTCAGTATGGCCTGGAATATATCCTGCTCATGAAAGGTGTCAATGGTGGCAGAACGAGACACCTCGGCTTCGTCAATGTCCATAGGTGCGCTGTTCGGGGGTGAAAGCATGGCGATATTGCGTATAAAGTACAAGGCGATGCGAATGATACCTTCGTCTCGGGGTGTTCGTTCTCGGAGGGGCACTGCCATGGATGGAAGAGCGATTTTGACGGCAGTCTGAAGGGTCCTGTCTCGGTCAAATTGTAAAATTGCGCGCTTGTAGCCCATCTGGGCAAGCTGGATGTAGGGGCCATGGCGATGGTGGTTGACGGTCGCTTCGGTGGGGTCGATTTCAAAGGGCCATGTTAAGGGGACGAGGAGTTCGACTGGGACAGTAAGCAGGGAGTCGAAGAACTAGACATGGCTGCATACGTGTGGCCACTGCAATCTTGTGTTTCCATCCACTTTCTACGACTGTCGGCGATATCTTTGCCAGGATTTCCAGTAAGTCTCCTTTGACGAGGTTTGCCTCTGCCATACACCGCGCAACATCACGCCGGTTGTGGGCTCCGTCAGCAAACTTGAGCCATTTTCGGAGGTCCTTGAGACATAGCAAAGCATCATGCCCAAGCGAATATGTGCCATCGTCGCCGATACCGCCAAGCTGGACGACTATTTAGCGACGAATGGTATTGGTGAGTGAGAACGAAGACGTACGGCAGAAATCAGACTGTACACATGCGCGCGCACTTCGGGGTTGACAGGGTCCGACACCCACTCGTCGAGGGTAGCCTGGGCCATTGTCGTCGTGGCTGTGTCGAGGTGCCGTATGGTCGTATATTCATTCACCCATCTATTCGTTCTTGGTGTTAGTCCAAAAGACGCGTCGACGCGTAAATTGGTTCAAACAGCGCAAACTCGCCAAGCATACGTAGGGCTGAGCGTCCCGCACTTGCACCCGCCCGCAAGTCAACGTCATGCCTCGGCTAGCCGTGAGCGGTTCCCATCGGCTGGGCCCCATCACATGTTGTGCATCAGAACAATTTGCTGGCTACACTTGGTACTTGCCCTTCAATTCCATTGCAACTGGTATACACAATCACAATGTTTTTCGCAGCTTCAAGACAAGCCGCCCGGTGCGCAGCCAGACAGCAATGCCGTGCTTTTAGCTCCACCCCCTCTGTTGGCGCCGCCGCTGAGGTAAAGAAGCTGGGTGTGATTGGAGCTGGCCAAATGGTGTGCATCAATTGATCTCTCAAATGGCATATGCACCATTCTGACATATCCAGGGTCTTGGGATTGCCCTTGTAGCAGCACAAAAGGCCTCAGTTCCCGTGCGACTAATCGACAACTCGCAAGCCTCCATCGACAAGGGCCTCAAGTTTGCCGACAAGCTCCTCGAAAAAGATGTGGGCAAAGGACGAATCTCAAAAGAAGATGCCGTAGCCGTACGCGAGCGCCTTACATCCAGCACGCAGCTCTCCGACCTCTCGGACGTCGACTTCGTCATCGAAGCCGTTCCCGAAATCCCAGACCTCAAGCACAAAATCTTCTCCCAGCTCGCCCAAATCTGCCCCTCCCACGCCATCCTCGCAACAAACACGTCCTCCATCTCCATCACCAAAATCGCAGCAAGTACCACCACCGATCCCACGGACCTCTCCGCCTCTTCGCGCGTCATCAGCACCCACTTCATGAACCCTGTACCCATCCAAAAAGGCGTAGAAATAATAACCGGCCTCCAAACCTCTCAATCCACCCTCGAAACCGCCCTCGCCTTTTGCGAGAAAATGGGAAAAATCCCTTCCAAATCCGCAGACTCGCCTGGCTTCCTCGCAAACCGCATCCTCATGCCGTACATCAACGAAGCAGTCATTTGCCTCGAGACGGGCGTCGGCGCCAAGGAAGATATAGACAGTATCATGAAGAACGGAACAAACGTGCCCATGGGCCCGCTCCAACTCGCTGATTTCATTGGAATCGACACGTGTCTGGCGATTATGCAGGTGTTGTACCACGACACCGGGGACTCAAAGTACCGGCCTGCAGTGTTGCTGAAGAAAATGGTAGATGCAGGATGGCTGGGTAAGAAGTCTGGAAAGGGCTTCTATGACTATTAAAAAAGTATATACATGTTTGAATTGAAGCAAAAATTCAGGCCCAGAGTGCTCGCCACTCCTCTTCTCCTAATGCAGAAACTACATATAACAAATCGTCTTCTTCCTCCATGCGAACTGCCCATCTTCCTTTGCCCCATAGCCTCTCCCTAAGCCACTTTAACCCATTACTTTCCTGATCGTTTCGGCAGTCTTGCCATGTTCTTGCTAGTTCTTCTTCGACTCCTTCATCGACGAGAAGATTGGTGGTGCCCTGAGCCCCTTGTGCAATTCCGCTTCCTTTCCCTTCCAATGGTGTAATGCCCAACGCAATGTATTCTTTGAATTCTGCGCGCCGAATTGAGTTTCGGACTTGTGACATGGAGAGGGGGTGGACGGAGTTGAGGGGCGTTTTGGGGTAGTGGAGGGTTGTGAAGGAAGTTTTTTCGCCTTCTTCTTGCTTGATGTGTGTGTTTTGTGAAGGAGATTTTTGCGGTGCTGTGCTTGTGTGATGGCTTCTTGTGTTGCGCTTGACTTTTGACGAGATTCGCTTGGTCTTTGCGGCCTTCTTCATCTTGCATGGTGCCATTTTGTATGTGTTTGTGGTGGAGGATTTGGAAGTGGTGTTGTGTGGGCTTGAAAGTGTATTGTAGCAGTGTGTGAAAGTGGAGTGGAAGATGGACTGGATGCGTGAAGGATGCAGCCCTTATACATTGTGGACAATATTCCTTCTTGTTTCCAAATTTCACCATGTCATTTATGACAAGTATCTTTTGCGGACTTCCAACCAAAGTTGAGCTCTTCAACATTCAGTCGTCCACCAATCCTATGATGCGCAATCGTCAACTATTTCCACTATTGTAATCCAATGGCGCACCAAATCATTATCATTTAACAATGAAATCTTCTCCATAGGCTACGGATAATGTTTGATATCATCGGGCCTTATTCCCTGAGCACATTTTTTAAATCGACTCCTGCTTGTCATGGATCCCCAAAGTCGCTACCACATTTACTCTTCTTCACTCTCGTATCCCTCAATCACCTTCTCGCAGCCACATGGCCACAAGTGCGCAACCGCATACCCCGGGTACTTTTCAACAAATTCGCCGTACCAGATCTGCCACTTCTCCCATGTCTCCTTTATCTCACGCTCTGCCGACATCGCCTCTCCTCTAGATACAGAGTGAGGCTTATTATGACACCACATCCTATTGAACACTATGAACTCATTCCATCTACGATGATCGTGTGGAGTAATCTGATGACCGTGGCCTGTGGTACGATTGGAGTCGTATGCGAAGTCGCCGTAGCGGCCGTGTGTTCCTTGTTTTAGAAATGGGGCGTGCGGCATTGGTGGAATACTTCTATTTCGGGGTACTATTTATATGTTTAGCCTGCAGTGAATCTAGAAATTCAACTAATGGTAAGGATGTCAAATGGAGAAATATTGAATGACGGACATAATAACTGTAATGCATCATGTGTTAACAGTCAGTTGGGGACCCACCTGTTGTGTCAAAGAACTGTATCGCGCCAGTACGAGGATTGGTTGTGATGGTAAGCACTCTGTCATTCTTCTTGTCATGAACGATTGTGGTGGATAAGTCCAGGTTGGAAGCATCCATCCCAGTATCGCTCATGAACCGCATCTGTTGCACTTCGCGATCTCTAGCGACCTTTTGCATATTGGTTTCCTCGCTGATTTGAGGCAATGATGATCCTTTTTCAGGACTCAAATTGCCCCGTTGAATAGCATCAGGTTGATGGTCATCAGCTGTAGCCACTGATTCTTCCGGAGTATCCTGCTTCTGAAGCTTTTGAAGCTTCTGTGGCGGTTGGTCATCTGGCTCATCTTCATGGATTCGTCTCTTCCAGCTATCGGTCTGCTCACGTGTATCCTTCCTTACAGCTGTATGTGCTTTGTTTTCCTTAATGTAAGGAACAGTGGGAGTTGTTGTTCCATTGTTCAGTGTCGGAGCTATAGGGGTACGTGAAGGAGCGACTGTTTTCTTTGCCTGAACGGTGCCATGTGCGGGATTTGTATCTACAGCTATCATGATATCTAAGTATGTGCGGCACGAATTTTGACTCTAGGACTTACCTGGTAATGTTGATTTGGGGTGGCGCCCAAGAGCAAGAGTTTCATTCTGTTCGATCCAGGTTGCTACCTCAACCTTCGAGAGTTCAAGGAGGCAGAACTCTATTCGCTTCTCAGTGCCTGCATACTGCTCTACGATACCGAGTAGGCTTTCCAAGTCATGGTGGATGAGAGACTTTGCTAACCGAGCGTCTTGTCTCTTCTTGTCTCCTAGGCCATCTTGGTCATTCAACCGTGTCTTTAGCCCATTCACCTCATGAAATTGGCCCCTCGGATGTTGATTTGGAGTAGCAGTAACAGGAGTCCTTGTTTTCTTTCTCGCTGCAGGTACAGTGGTGGTCTTGTTCGGTCTGACTGGAGTGGATATACTGCTTCCAGATACCTTGCACGCAACAGGTGAACTGCTAGTCCTGTCCGTTTTGACCAGAGTCGATGCATTGCCTCCTGTTGCCTTGCTCGCTGCAGGTACGGTAGTAGCCTTATTCTTTTTGACTGAAGTAGATGTACTGCTTCCAGTTGCTTTGCGCGCTGCAGGTACATTGCTAGTCTTGTTCGATCTGGCAGAAGTAGAGGCACTGTCTCCAGCAACTTTTCTCCTACGCTTTCCTTTGGCCTGCGAGGATGCGGCCATCGCTCGCGCGACTTCATCGTGGTCAATAATGTTAGTTTGTCGGTTCATGATGCAGGTCAGTGATGATAGAAATGGTGAGTAATTGCGATGGTTATGGAATCGGAATGCAGAAACACACAAGGTTCAGTAGGTCGCAATGAGAGTAGGTCACAATGACAAGTGAGCGTGAAAGAGGTGCCTCCGTGTGTCCTGGGCCCTGTTCACAATGCAGTGAATGCTGCGCAAGTCCACTACAGCGCAAAACAGCGCGTATAATGAGACATTTTGATCAGCACAGCCTAGAGCCAATTAGTTTCCACTTCAGAATTTTTCATGTCTCAGAGCTTCTGGTAATGGAATCTACATTTGTCGGGCGTGCAATTCAATGTGCTGTCCATATCATGATCCCGATACGCTTAGAGGAGGCCCCGCTCGATGGCACCCAGAGGCTACGGGCCAGACTGCTCGCAACGATTCAAGTCACTTGTCAATACAGAGAACAATTCGGAAGTTCCCAATTCACCTCAATTAATTGTGAAGCCTAAATACTGGCATTGAACTGTTGTGTCTGGGGCACCAACAACGAATGCCTTGGCGAAAATAACCATTCCAAGCAAACAAAGGTACTTGGAACAAGGAACAGACTCTCTTGCATGACTAATATGAGAATCTAATGTCGTTCCTGGTCTCAATCCTGGGTGCAGTGTGTCGCGTGAAAGGGTCGAAGTTGGAAAAGAGTTGCGGCAGTGCCACGTGAGACAGGCGCCGACCCGACCGCCGACCGACGCAAAGGAGCCGAGGCATTCCTGCTTCGAGCCCTTGGATCGTCGTTTCGCGACTCCTCAACTCCATCACCACCCGCCATCTTGCGCCTGTTACGTGTCTTGCGTAACTTGTAGCCAAAATGGTGCGCGAGGACCTCATCACATCCGCCGTCTCGTGTAAGTAAATATGACGGCGATTGCAGCCCTGCACGCGACGATGCTAACAACAACACCCAGTCCTCCAGGACCCGTCGGTTGCCAGCGCGCCCCTGGAGAAGCGCATAGCATTCCTGCAGTCCAAGAACCTCACCCAGGAGGAGATCGATGTCTCCCTTGCCCGTGCTGCTGAAGATGGCGGCCAACCTCCGCCTCCTCCCCAGACATCCGCAGTAGCCAGCAATGCGTCATACAGGCCACCGCCGGCAGCCCCATATGCAAGCTACCCACCCCAAGGATACTGGCAACCACCACCGCCACCACCAGAGTAAGTCGTGAGATTAGCATTGCTAGTGCGCCAGCTGACAGATACAGACCACCGAAACGCGACTGGCGCGACTACTTCATCATGGCGACGGTCATGGGTGGCGTAGGCTACGGACTCTACTTTACCGCAAAGCGATACGTCCTGCCCCTAATACAGCCGCCCACGCAGCCCCAACTGGAGCAAGACAAGGCCTCTGTCGACGAATCGTTCAAGCGTGCCTTTGACCTTCTCGAGCAACTCAACACCGACACTACCGCACTCAAGGCGTCCGAAGAGGCGCGGACAGCAAGACTCGATGATGCCTTGGGTGAGGTGGAAAGCGTATTGTCAACCCTCAAGGAATCATCCAAGCGACAAGGAGACGACAACCGACGAATTGAAGATGACGTCCGCGGCCTAAGGGATCTAATCCCCAAGGCATTGGAGTCTCACAAGGAAGCCACCGACAACAGACTGAAGGAGCTGTCTACTGAGTTGAAGAGCTTGAAGACATTGATCGGAAACAGAATGGGTTCAACTGCTCCCCGTCCGCAGAACGTCTCGGGCTACTACGGAGCCGGTCAGCAACCGAGTGTTCCCCAGACTCCCAACGTAAACGGCACATCCTCTGTTTCAACACCGACACCCCAGGCACCATCTACGCCCGCGCCCGCTGAGCAGGCAAATGGCACTTCTGGCGCTGGCAGCCAAGCCAACGGCCTTGCAACCCCCTCAGCTTCATACAGCAGCAGGATGCCCACTGGACGCGCTGCCATTCCCGCATGGCAAATGGCTGCCGCGAAGAAGACGGAGGAGGCCAAGAAAGATACGAGCGAAAGCGGAACAGCAGTTGAGGCGAGTGCAAGCTCGTAGAATGCGCACAGAAGTTTGATTTGACAGCGGGTTTGCATCTTGGCGTTGTACCTTGTACTAGTATTAGTATTCACTAAGAAGCGATGGACATATCCTTATGTTGAAATGTAACTCTTTCTAATGCACAAGTAATGCTCAAGTGTATGTTTCGGATATGTTGAAATCGGCTCGTCGCCCATAGTGACCCAAGTGGCGTTTTCATGTCGTGACGTCGCGATAGCGCGTTTCGCGTCAGTGCCCATGTCAACGTCACTCTCAGCCATCGCAAAACAAACGTTCCGACCCGTCGTCATCGGATTCTCGCAGAATCCACTTTCTTTATGCATGATCGATTTCGCCAATCTCGCATCCACACAAAGAGACCCATGCGACCCCTGACGCTAACCTGGTGTTGACGTCGACCGTCGCGCGTTTTGGGACTGATGCTGATCAACGGCATGCGCAAATGGTCCCTTGGCCAGTAGAGCGGATCTAATTCTCGGGAACTTGCAGTTTAGTGTGCCTTTTGCGATGGCATGACGCAGGGATGAAAAGCGGTCCCATTCTCGCTGACGTCTATTCGATATGATGCTGTTCTCAAATCGAAAATGAAGATGCGGTTTTGTACAGGTGTATGGTTTACGGACAAAGAGACATTCAACGTCTTCGCTATATCTATTTCTTCTCAAAGTAACAATACCAAAGGATGATGCAGCACTGCTCGCATCTAGGCCATTGTACATGCGGACTGCTCCTGCATTTAGTGTCAGATCCCTCGTATCAGATCGACAAATCATTACCTCGTTGCACCACACACCATCTTCGAGGAGGTTGGTACCTTTGTTGAGTTGCCCTTTCCTAAGCCCATGCCGTCATAGTCTCGATCACAGCATGTGATTCTGATCGTCCATCCTAGCAGTCCAGGATCCCAAATCCTATGTCACATCAGAGGCTTAAGCGCTCTCCATGACGTATACTCATCGTGGAAAAAGTCTACATAAAGACAGGATTCCCCTCCTTCTGACTCCATCCCAACATCACAACACTTCTTCAATCTAATACGCAACCGCTAACTACCAACCAACAAAGCCCTACCTTTCTCCCTTCCACAACCATGAGCTCCACCGAAGTTCCCAGCGGCAACGCAATGGACAACTCCTACCAGTCCCGTACCGGTCAATCCGAGATCCGCGTTATCAAAGACGAAGCCCCCGTTGAATCCACCGAGTACGACAACGGCGGTGATTCTGACCAGCAGCTTGGTCAGTTCCCTTATCCACATTTCTATCTGGATGTTTGCTAATATAGTACAGAGCGCGACGAAAAGGAAGCCATCGACCGCGACAACATCATTAGCGAGCGCACGCGTGGTGCAGCCAAGCAGCCTGGCACTTATGCTGAGCCAGGCGATGAGGAGGGGCTTGGAGATGCGGCGGGTGGTATGGATGGGACTTCGTCTGTGAGGTAGATGTCTGAAATGTCCATGGAGATATGAGCCGTATGGGGATGAATTGGTTTAAAGTTCTTATCATGTATTATTAGGAGTAGTTTTGAAGTTAATCGAGATGTTTCTTATGATTGCGGTTGACATGGCGGTTGCACGTTTTCGTGCCTCTATTATCTATCATCACGAGTGCGGCATCCAACTGACTTCCCATTTGCTTTGCGATTCCAACTCGTGACTTCAATATCTATGATCAATGTCATGTGCATCCAACAATCATCTACAAGGCATTCTGGTGGAGTGCTCTTCGTAGGTAGGCAACAAAACACTCTCCTGTATAACATCCGGGAAATATCTACTTCTCTAACATAAAAGACCTAGCGTTTTCATATACCAGAATTCACGAGCATAGTATAACACTGCCTACTTCTGGTATTGGTTCTCATAGGTTTCTGATAGATCGCTTCAGCAAATCAGTGCATGCTCTATGCTCAACCACCAAGAGAAGCCGGCAACTTTGTCAAACAGCAGTGCACAAAGCACACGTGTTAGAAGCTCCGCACAGCGTTAGTCCATGACTTCATCATTTCACTGCATGACAATCTGCCTACCCCATGATCTCTTCTGCGCTTTCTTCCTCTCTGGTTTGCAGTGAAAAGTCTCAATGACTAGGCCTTATCCACGACCCAAAACAACAGAAAAATGACGCATCAGAAGGCAGCAGCAACAAATGTTTCGTCATCTATCAAGTTTTCCTCAAGGGGACGAACGACATCCAGCTACGCGATTGGGTATCCTCACAGGCAACCAGGTACCGACAAGTGAGCCGGAAGATACGCGAAACCACGTGGGTCGGCACATGAACTATAGCAAATAATCGGGAGAGTCATACTGCCGGGAAAGCAGAGCGAATAGCAGTTTTTGGAGGGTATATATATATATATATATGGGTACAGGTACCATGGTTTCTGAACTGACAGAATCAATCAACAAGTTGCTTCTTTCAACTCCACATATTATACCTTGTATTGATATCTCGATATGGAAGACGACAACCTTTTACATCACTGCATATAAACATGTCAGCAAATCGCAGCAAAGCTGCGAGAAATCGTAAGTCAAGTCCCGTTGACGAAAGGAACTCTCTCTCTCAATCCAACTTCAGGTTACCATCAAGCTACGAGTCGCCCGCAAAAATACCTAGAGTCCGAAGGTCAATCTGCATCATCTTTTGCTGCTTACCCCAGCAATGTTTCTGGCCGACGGGGCGGGCCTTGGCCCACTCAAAAGTGCATGGCCGCTCCTATGGGAGCGAAATGTGAGGAGCCATCATGCTCCTCGCATATCAGCAGAGAGGGAAAATGGTGGCAACGGAGGTATTGCATCTCCGCAGGGATGCTGCTCCTGGGTGTGTCTGTCCATCAAAATAGCCATTGAGATGTCCATGCGAGACTTCCCAGAACCTCACCAACTTCACAGGTCCATCTCTCATTATATGCAACACCCAACACTCATTCGACGAGCGGAGAGAAAAAAGTCCGACGAAACCTTTGACGCTGCGTTCCCGTCAGAAGGTACCGCACCGTATCTTGTCATCACTAACACTCTGAAATTGGGTATTCCGTAACTACTTTCGGTACCATTATACGTACGCATACCCGCCCGGCCTGCCAACAGACCCAATCCGGTTTGCCGAAAAAAAAAAGAAAACGGGAATCAGTTGATGCCGGCATAGAACGAAGCTGCGCGTCAGCGTATGACCCGAGTGATCCGGGTTCGGTGCGTGTAGGATTATTGATGGAACAGGGGAAAGCCCGGCTTTTAACTATTAAGACAAGGGATGAAACTTGAACATTGACATGACTGGAGAGGATGGAGCAAGACAACGTGTAGGGTATAGAAAAGGAGACATTTTTCCAAAGCTAATGTGCACGATAGCTCATTTTCTTATTGCTTAACGAAGCCCTTGTCCATGCCCCCGAACTAGATTACACCCGGGTATATATATATCTCTCTCTTGTATGAAGAAGACCACGCATTCTGGTGAGACACACACACACACACACACACACAAATACACACAAAACGCCCCCTAGCCCACCGCAACTGCATCGAAAGAAATGAAACATGTCCCCTGAAGAACTTAGACCTACTCTGAAGCCTTCTTGCGACCCCTATGCCTTGATTTAGTACTGGCCATACGAGCAACGAACAAGTTCAATCAGACATACCTCTTCTGCGGCACTTTCTTAGGCTTGGGCGCCTCCTCCTCAACCTCACTGCCATTTTCGGCCTTGGGTTTCTTGGCAGCAGGCTTCCTGCCACGAGCCTTTTTAGGCGGTGGAGCTTCGTCTTCTGTTTCGGCTTCCTGCTCTTCGACCACTTCCTTCTTAGGTGCCGCCTTTTTGGTCCTGGCTTTCTCGGGTGCTGGAGCCTCCTCTTCGCTCTCGTTCGCAGGCTCTGCGGCCTTCTTGCTCTTGCCATTAGTGCGAGCTTTCTTCGCAGGCGGAGCAATCTCTTCATCTTCATCGTCCGCTGCAGCTTGCTTCTTGGAGGGACGGCCGCGCTTCTTGGGGGCTGGTGCGGGCTTGTCTTCTTCATCTTCGTTCTTGACCTTGGCGGACTTCTTCTTTTTAGGCTTCTCTTCTTCGGAAGCATCATCTTCATCGCCCTTCTTGGGCTTCTTTACTCTGGACTTCTTGACACCCAGACGGTTGAGCTCGGGGTCCTGGGATTGTGAGCAGGGATATCAGAATGTGTTAGTCAAGTACTTACACGTGTGCAATCTTCATCTGGAATGTGGTTGTGCTCGAGTGCGAACTTGACCTTTTCTTGGAACTCTTCTGGTAGTTCATCGTAGCCATCGACCATGTCTGTGTCGCCTCCGCATGTCTCATTCAGATTCTCAATTTGCTTAGGGGTGACGCATCCCCTATGCTAGTTAGCAATTGTCTTTTCGTAGAACAAACTACTACACTTACCAATGGCGGTATTGCCAGCTGACATGCTCATGAATGGTAACTTGGACGGCAAAGCGAAACTCGCCCTTTGTGATCTTTTTGCCTTCGTCTTTGCATGCCTTGACTTGGCAGCCAGCACGGTTGTTGGGAGACACCTCTGACAACTGATTAGTCTTGCTCACTTCAATTCCAATTGGTGATTTGAAATGCGACTCATATTCCATTGAATGCAAGTGCGCTGGAAATCATGCAGTGACGTACCGACACGGTATACACCCATAGTCGCGGTGGGTTGCTATGTCGCGTGGAGAAGGAGTAAAGATTCCTGGAGAATACGCGTAGAGCAGGTTAGGGATATATGCAGCAATTCTAAGATTTAGGCAATCAGTAGGGCGTTTCTTTCTGGCAAATCTCTTTGTGCGTCGTCGCGACTTGTTTGCGCAGTCGACGCGTGAGGTCACTAGCGGCAGGCAGACGTGGGAAGCCCAACAGGGGACCCCTGTCGGACGGTGTTAGTGCGTCTCGGAACTGGAGAGTGCAGTTCGTCATTATCCTAGTCGGAAAAAGTCAAGACGATGCCGCCGCCACGAGCATTCACCTCCACCACCCATTCGCTACCCCTCAATGAGCACTGCGCATACATGCTTTCGCAGCGCCCTCACACAGGCATTTCGGACCAACACCCGCGGGATTGCTGCTTCCTGTTCTGTGGCCGCATTTCTCGTTCCGACGTTCGCCAAAGCCTCCAAACGCACCTTTGCAAGTGGAAAACACCGTTCCAACCACGCGCAGCCATCCCTGTCTCTCCCAGATACATATGTTCAAGATGAAACCGCTCCGACACGTCCAAAGAAGCCAAGGGAACTCATCACATCGCAGATACCCTGCCCGCAGCCAGAGGCTCGTGGTGACATCAAGGCATGGCTTGCCGTCCTTGAGCCCTTCCTCCCAGGCCACCTGCGACGGGAGCCTTCAGATAGCCCCGACGTATCGGTGAGCTCGTTCGACCTTGCCTATGTTCTCAGTTCTGCTCAAGCCGCCTCCGTGGATATTATCAGCCATATAGGGCTGGTTGAGGGTCGATGGCAAACTGTGGTGTGGATGGTCAAAAAGCTTGCGGAGGACAGACAGCAATCGACCGATACCGCTCTACAAATTCAACAGTACTCAGATGTTATGTGGCAAGGACGCGAGTATCAGAGTATGAAGGATCTGACCGAGAGCCCGCTTGTACTCCAGCGAAGCCCACCATCACAGAGGCCGAAATTCACTCTGGACACAGCGACTTCTGCTCCGGAGTCGATCAGATATCGAAACGCCACGATAAAGCGAGGGTTGGGACAGCTATGGAGGAGCCTGGGGAATATGATCTTGACAGCTACAGAGCAAGGAAGTGCTGGGCAGGATACCATTATGCCTCACGTCTTGCAGGTGATTGCATATTTGCATCATATAGGTCTCATCCCCGACTCGGTCTACACATATCACCCCCACGAAGACAAGCATGCACTGCAGCAACCTCCAACTATTCATATGCTGTCATCGCAAATTCTTACCGCGCTGTCAGATGCGACATGGAAGGCGCATGAGTCTTCAGTCAGGACAGCAAAAGATCGGGCCAACGCTCAATACTTTCTTGGGCACGAAATACCAGGATCTCGTTACAAGGCCTACGTTACAGAAGTGGCGCCTGAGTTGTGGCTGGAGCTTGTTCTTTGGTCCTGCTTACATGGCGGGTGGGTACCAGACGGAGTTTCCGTTTTGGAGCAAATTGCAGCCAAACAAGGGGAGCATGGGTGGGCACTCATCAGCTGGCGAGAAATTATGGAACAAGAAGAACAAAAGAAGCCAATGCCATCAAGGAGATGGAGTCTGTTCCCCATGAATGAGGATGCATCGGCAAGCCCCGAGGACCGAGCACGGACACGCAAAACGATAAGCGGCGAGGTAGTCACGGCATTTGTAGACGGACTTGTAAACCAGATGCGACTTGGGGTGGGCACTCGCGGCGCCAATCCCGAGCATGTGGTTTCGTCCATCAAAACACTGAAGACACTTCTTGACGCAAACAACCTAAGTCTTGGAGCTATGGCTTGGGACTCGATCATGGCGCGTCTGATAGAGTCTGGTGGTTTTGTGCCCGAGAAGCGACCTGAGGTGCTGTTGCGCATCTTTGAGCTTGCGCCTGGATTTGGTGCTGAAGTTGGCACTGCAAACGCAACGACTCAACGGAGTACTGAGATCCCCTACTTTTTTGAGCCAACAACCCTACCGTTGAGTCTGTTGCATCGCACTATGCGAACATTCATCAAAAATGGAGACATCCGTGGCGCCATGGAAACGCTGTCGCTTCTCCAACAACACACCGACGACAACAAACAGAGATCTGTGCAAGAGTTTTTCACTTTTCTGAGAAACAGTCGGCAGCTACGAAAGGACGAGCCGTTCACGAGCAGGCTGCCCCCTGTCAGCTTCCCTGCCTTTGACACCAAGCTTCCCGTGGCGCTTCTAGCGCAGCTCCTAGACTTGGCGACGGAACTGAACATGTTTGACTTTGGACGGTGGCTACTCTTCTCTGAAGACTTGGATGGCCCGCTGATCAGCCCTTCGCTATATGGTCATCGCAACATGTCGGCCTCGATTGTGCGATTTGGGACGTTGGCTGGGGATAACGATCTGGTTCTCAAAGTGATTCAAAAGGCTGGGGTGTGGAATGAAAAGCATCAGCAGCAGCGAATGCCAGCCGAGATTCTGACAGCATTGCTCTGCTGCCAGATGAAACTGGGCAGGTGGGAGGCTGTGCGGAGCATGCAACAATACGTGGAGCAAAGCGCCACGTTTAGGCCTCGGCCCATTATCATCTCGACGTTTGCAGCCGAGCTTCTCCGGAGGTCGAGTGGTTCTGAAGAGAGCAGAGTCGAAGCCCAAGAAAGCTTTACAGGACTGCTGTTTGGATGGGAACGCATCATCTTGCAGAACATGCGGGACGAGCTCAACTGCATCCTCTCCATCATGTGTACGGTAGATGGGTACTGGAAAGAGTACTGCTCGCAGTTCTTGGCATTCTCGGCGCGGCACGACATGAAGCTTTCGACGGCCGACTTCAACCGGGTGGTATGCGGTGTGCTTGAGGGCTATGGCAGTGTCAAGGGCAGGGCGATTGTGGAAACGTGGTGCTACAAGCCACCCAAGAGGTTTGAGGCATACCGAGCGCCGGGAGGACTGCCCAAGATGGCGCGGTACCGGGTGAGTAGAGGCGGAGAGTACGAGGATGGTCCCGGGGCGATTGAGATTGTGCAGCGGTCTGGGGCAAGGATGGTACTGCAGGGACGGGTGCAAGCCAACCACGAGACGATATGTGCGATTGTGCGAAAAGTGCACGAGGAAGTAGCAGCCAAGGAGGGGAGTGGCGAGGGAGTGGCAGAGGCCACGCGCAGTGAAGCGCGGGACACGCTGCGGTGGGCGGCACGGCTGCTTTACTATCTAGGGTTCGAGTACGAGGACATTGCACGCCATCTGGGCAGCCTCGTTGGGCTTGCCGGGCTCGAGGCGGCTGGGGGAGGCGAAGAGGCAGAGGGCGGCTTCGAGGGCGAGTGGTAACAGGCCAGATGTTCGGCCAGGTGCATGTGGTGTAGAAAAGGCAGATGTGTGTGTGTGATGTGCATGGCATTGCGTAATACAGCCTCTAGACGCGGGTGGGTATCTTTTGGCGCTGTAGGTGCTGTGTATACATGGTAGTGTATGACATACGTGGTTGGTGACTGGGGCAAGGCGAGGCGCGTGATGGAGAAATTGGCAAACCCTGAGCGTGTTCGTCGGTTCGGGCTCGACTAGGGGCCCCCACTTTTTTTCCCAAGCAGCCGTTGCCGTTTTTCTGCCTGGGCCAGACCGCAGCCGGCCATGAGCTGGAGCGTGTTGGGTGCAGCAGCAACAGCGAACATGGGCTCGTGGAAAGCAACGTCGTGGTAGTTGAGACGTCGGTTGACGTGCCTACCGCAGGCCAAGAGGGCTGGGACGGCGAATGGGAGGCGATGGGGCCTGTGTCGGTAGACGGGCTTATGACACGTCGAGGATGCTGCCAGGCCGGCCCCAGGCCAAGAACGAGCAAGAGAGGGCGAGCCGGGGCGTTGTTGCTGATCCAACCAAGAGGCTGTGGAGACGGGAGATGCACCAATGTTCTGCATGCTGCCATGCTCCCCACCCACTCATACCACGGCATGGCCCCGTCCCAGTCTGTCTGGGAGGGGCGGGAGAACAAGCTGCCTTGACGTCTGCGGGTGCAGTATACTTTGAGCAGCAGCAGCGGCGGCAGCGAGACATGGCGGGCGGCTGAGGCCGCGACGGGTAATTTTGAAGTGCAAATCAAATTGGTGGGATTGGCATCGGTGGCGCATGCTAAGCGAGTGTGGGTGCGAGGCAGCAGGAGCAAGCAAGCAAGCAGGCAGGCAGGCAGGCAGGCAAGCAACGGGCCGCCGAGGGCTGCCAGTCTCAGGGCTGAGGCGGCCGGGGCTACGTCTCCAAGGCCTTCACCGCTTCTTTTCCCACACACGGGGCAGTGCCTATGCCCATCGATAGACGATGCATCTGGAGGGGCAGCAATGCCCGACGACGTCAAGGACTGCCATGGGCGCGTGTCTGGAGGGGCAGTGAGCCGGCCACTCGACAATGCCATGACGCCGCCGGCGGGGCCGTCGTGAGCCATCTGTTGCTGCTCTGCTCTGCTCTGCTCTAGGGCGGGCTTGCGTCGACGGCGGCTTTGAGGGCAGCAGTAGCAGCATCGTGTACATGGACACATGGCTAGCAGGCGAACATGGACGTCGATACACAGCCAGCCAGCCTGCTGTTGGCCGCAGCAGCATGTGCTGACCAGGGCTCTCTGGGCAGGCTTGGGCCAATGGCGTCCAGCCGTTGGCAAGCATTCGCCCCGTGTTGCCTCATCGCCATGTCCTCGTCCGCATTAGGGCCAGTGGGGCAGTTCGGCCAGACGACCAAAATTTCCAGCGACAGCGAGGGGCACGCGACCGGCGCTGCTCGAGGCGCCCCGGCCACGGCCTCTGGACGGTGCTCGCCAGCAATTGCGCTCCAGAAAAACAAAAACACCACCGGCCATCGAGGACACCGTCGTGGCGCTCGTGTTTTCCCGCTGTCTGGCCTGGTTGCTCGACATGGAGTCATCGCTGCAGGCAGGCAGGACTAGGTAGCCCGCCCGGGCCATGCGATATGCCGCTAGGGCCAAACTAAAAATTAAACATATCCTTTGCCCTCGCCCGCATCTTTTCTCTCCGCACCAGCCCCAAGACGTCAAAGTCGCTCAGATTCTTACCAGGACCACTCCAGACGCCCCCCCAATCCCTACTCCTACTTTCGTCGAGACAATGCCGCAGGCACGCGCTGAGCTCTAAACTCCTGGTGCAGCCCCACCCACGGGCTGCATCAGCCCGACAGCTCACGGAATTCCCAATCTCTTCGACGATACCAATACCAGACTGCGTGCAGTACCCTCTGCCCCAATCCGTCCCACTCAATTGGCAATCGTCCCGCCTGCGCTAGCAAAAAATTCCACCATTGTCTTTCGCACTCCCGCTCCACAGCTGCACCATCGACGAAACCCACAGGGCCCCAGCATAGTTCCCACGCCCTGACACGCCCCTCCCAGTACACCACATACATTGCACCTACTGCTCACTCACACGCTATCCTTCTTCAACACATTCCAATTGCGACATACTACCCGCCATACCAACCACACCTCTCCCTCTCCCACACCCTCATACACCTACTCCACCGCCACCATTTTCACCAAGAAAAAAAAAAGAGAGAGAGAGTGAAAAAAAATTTCAACAACACAAACAGCCCACCATGGCGCACCGGACACTTGCTCGACCATCCATCAAGGGCCTTTCAGATCACCAACAAGACCGCAGTCCCTCGCACAACGCTGCCACACACATCCACCGCACTCATCAAAGGTCCACCTCTCCAGACACAATATCAGGCAGCACACATCACTCTGAAGGCCGTGGCGGTGACCAATCGGCCACTGAAGGCGCTGCCGACGACGAAGACGACGAGGACGATGACAGTAGTGGTGTAAAAGATGACGAGTTGGATGATGAGACCGACACCGACGACGTCCCTGCCCGTCCCTTTGGCTACAGCAGGGGAGGAAAGGGAAAGGGAAAGCAGCCTGCTATCCGCATCGACCCTGTAGATGACGACGAGTCTCACGCCGAAGACGATGAGACCGCGTCCCACACAACCGGGCTGCGGCTGGTACCCAGCAAGCACCCCGTGAACCAACTACTAATGAGTAATAAGAAACGTACCTTTAGTAATCTCTCAAGCACTTCAGTTCTCTTTGGCGATGACTCGACCGATCAAGAGTCATTTCCCAGGCGCAAGATTGCTCGCAAACTGAGCAATGCCCCCGCCAGTCTCCCCCTGCTAACCTACACGGACAATGAAGACGCCCAGACCAATGACAACGCTATTGAGACGGACGATGAAGACTACAGCGGCGTCAATCTCGTCCCTGATGACGATGAGTCTGACTTGGAGCTGATGGAGAAGCAAGAAGAGAGCTACATTCTGCAAGAAGAGCAGCAAGCTACTACCCTTCTCAATGAGTATCGTGATGCTCGCCGGCTCAGTCTTGATAGCTGCCTGAGCGACCATATCTTCGACGTCACTGCTCCCTTAGATGATGCTTTTATGGCGGGGCTTCCTGACTTTGGCTTCACTCCCTTCTTTGAGCCTGAAGCCGTCCCCGCATCACCCGTCCCCATGGCAAAGAGAAAGTTTTCAGACGGCTCTGCCAAGCGTGTCCGCTTCGATGACGATGTTGCAGTGTCAGATAGCTCTAGCTCAGAGTCATCGGAGCTCGATAGCAGCATCTTTCCAGATCTCTTCATGGATCAAGACAAGATCCCGCCTAGTTTGCATCAGCTGCTTGAGATGGACAACGATGATGACAATGGCGACATGGCTTCTCCCCAGTCTGACATTTCCTTTTGGGACTTTGAGCAGAATGAGTCTCGTATCACTCAGCTCGACAACTCGGACGAGTCCGAGGGCGAGTCGAGCGAATCCAGCGGCTATGAATGTATGATGGTACCCTATGCCAACTTTGATCCACTGACTAACATACATTCTCAGCCGACATGGGTGATACTACTGACGAAGAAGACTTTGAAAACGACATGTTGCCACGCACCCCAACCCAAAAGCAGTCTGTTCTGCACCGACCCTCTTCAGCACCCGGGTCCCGCGCCAGCACCCCCAAGCCCTTTCAGCGAAGCGCGCGGCCCGTTGGTCGCCAAATTCCCCCTACGCGCGGCATCTTCATCCACGACGAAACCGACCAGGCTATTGCCGTCACGAACCGTGCCACAAAGGCCGTCAGCTTCTATCGCCCTCGCACAGTGCTGATCCCATGGATCCCTCTAACAGACTATCACAGCAGCACTAGCAGCACTGTCAACAACAGCCCTAGGAACTCTGTCGCGCAAATCAACAATGCCTCTGACAGCGAGGTCAGCAACGAGGTCTTCAACAACGGACTCAGCACCGACATCATGCTCTCGGGTATCTTTGGGTCTGGTCCAAACGACTTTGTGTTTGGAAGTGAAAGCGTCGGTCCTCCCGAGGCTTTCTATCCTTTCGTAAGCATCTCTTCCAACGGCAACATGGGCATCGTTGACGAAGACGAGGATGGTTCTTCGAGCGATGATTATGAGGATGACATCAACATCACCGACTTCATGGACTTTGGTTCTGACGGCGATGATACCGATGTCGACGAAGATGATGATGATGTCGACGACACTGATGTGCCAGCAACTCCAGCCACCTCACAGGTGGCAAATCATGGCTCAACTCCGGCTGCACCCTCGACTACCACTCCGCAAACCCGCAAGAGAACAACGTCAGATGTCATGCTCGAGCACTTTGATCGCGGTGTCGTTACCGCTTTCCGTACCAACCAAAACCGCTACCGCGACGTAGCATCTTTGCCGTCAGACCCAGCAGCTCGAGCCTCTGTCTCACGTCCGGTTCGCTCTGGAAAGTCAGCCGAGGCGTTGATCACACCGCTCCGCAAGCGTTCGCGATCAAACCGCGTGGCCAAGTCGCCTTTGAAGAACCACACCAACATGAACCAGAGTTCGCCCCTGTCGGGCGTTAGCAAGGCTACAGGCCGGCTGCAAAGCTCCGTCATGGGCTCCCCTCGAGGACCGCCTCGTATGGGACGCTTTTCTTGAACACACTTATACATACTTGGGCGCTGGTTGTCGCCACAAAACATCAACCACGGCATGCCAGACGATGGGCAGCAAGGACGAAGAAGGAGGAGGAGGAAGTAGGACTAGGGGAGATGTGCCTACGATGTTACGATACCCACGGCCTTTTACTTCTAGCCTGTTCTCCACGGCTATGTCGTTAGTACGGACTTGATCATGCATGTGCATGTTTTTCAAAAAAAAAAAGTTCCTCTTGGGCCCTTTTGGATGGTCCGGATAAAAGTTGTGGGATACTACTGGCTTTTAGAGCGGACATTTACAGCATGCGGCTACGCACCGGCTTCGTTCGGCTAGTGCAGCCTCGTCGCGCCTCTGACGAATTTCCTTTGTCTTTCTTTCTTTTGTCCCTGATTTCGAAGCGGCTGTTTATTTCCATCTTCTTCCTATGTGGCTACTTGTTTCCCCCAAAGGAGTAAACAGGCTGTTTTGGGAATGATACCATGTGTTTCACCCACAAGCACAATCTGAAAATGGGTTTTCTGCTTCCTCTGGCGTTTTTGGTTCACGGCTTACAGGCTGTCGACCTGATGGCGTTGAGAGGCTGGCGGACTTGCTCACGGGTCTATCGTGTACTCGTTTCTTTTCTTTATTATGGAGTCAGGTAATAGGATGGGCAACAGACATGGTGTAGGACTAGCGTCGGATTCTTTTCTACTGCTGTATTGCTTGAATGAAAATTTCATCTCATGACTTGCGGGTTTTGATTGAGCTGTGAAGTGGTGCAGTGATGTGCAAATGTTTAGTGCAAGTGGTCTGTGCTAGCTACGTCACAACCCCAAGTGCGGCGCGCGACAGCATGTGAAGATCAAGCGCGTGTGAAGAAAAAAAGACGCATTCCAACGACCACAAACGTCTGCTGCGTAGTTTAGCGGGTGGTGATGGAGGAACTCGAAGATGACGTTCGCCAGGATAGGTCAATTGTACGGGTTGTGATTGTAAGATGTCCCCGACCCGTCTTCGCGACGATTGCTCCTCCCACATCTTCCCCACCCACCTACACACCGCCCGCCCACGCGTACCACTGATTGAGTATCTAGGATTCCTTACTTCTACCCCTTCGCATCGCGACATCGCCAGCCCTGCTACGAACGTACCTGCGCACCGCACTTCTCTTCATCGCATCCACTATCCTCTTCGGCTTCGCCGTCGTAGCGTATTCTTCCTTTTACTATGCCTACATTCCCGTCCGCGGCATAGTCGTACCTGTATATCTCCAGTACGACCACAGTCCAGCAGTGGTCTTACATCCACCCGCCCAAGTGAGCGGCGTGCCAACCGGCAAAGCAGCAAAATGGCCGTACGGACTCGCCAACATACCCGGGCTCGTGGACCGCCAAAAGTACGACGTAGTCGTTGAACTCGACCTACCGAGAAGCAAAACAAACCTTCATGCGGGGAACTGGATGGTCGGCCTGGAATTCCGCGGCCCCACGACACTCGGACAGGGCGTAAAGCATATGCTGGGCTGGGACGAAGAGTGGAACGTCGAAGACCACAGTCAAGGCGGTGCGCCTGGCACCACAGCCGAGAAAGTCGTAACAGACGATTTGACAACTCAAACCCCTACCGTCCTTGCCCGAAGCAAAAGACCGGCAATCCTCACATACCGCAGCCGCATACTCGAGATGATGTACCGCTTCATGCGCCTCCCGCTGTACCTGCTAGGCATGCACACCGAATCCGAGCACATCACCATCAAAATGATGGAATCCATCATGTTCGAGCCCGGCCACCGCAACGTCCCATCCTCGCTGCGCCTCGAACTGCGCTCCAAAGCGCCACTCGAAGTCTATCGCGCGAGCGTGCACATTACCGCTCGCCTCGAGGGAATCCGCTGGCTCATGTATCGCTACCGCATTCTCAGCGCTATCCTTGGTATCTTGTCGTTTTGGGCCATGGAAATGTGTGTGTTGCTAGTCACATGGGGGGCGTTTACGCTGCTTGCTTCGTCTTTTTCTTTCTCATCGACAATGGGGGATGGTGATGATGATGAGGAGGAGAAACAAAAGAAGAAGAAGAAGATGATTAAAGCAGAGGAATCGGATCCAGGGACACCGTTTAGCGAGACTAGTCGTACGTTTCCTACCTTGCCTTCGCAATATCCTCTTTCGTATAGCTCGTCCGCTGGTGGTGTTAAGCGCGAGGAGAGTGAGGTGGCGTTGAAGGATATTCCGGTCAAGGAGGAGGCTGAGGCGGATGATGAAGATGAGGATTTTTTGCTCGAAGTTCCGTTGCCGGTGGGCGTGGAGAGGGAGGCGGTGTTTACGGATTCGGGGCTAGGGACGGGGTTAGAGAGTGGGGTTGAGAGGGGGGCTGCGAGGAGGAGGGGGATGAAGGGGGAGTGAATCTGAGTTAATAATTTAGTGGGGGGTTTTTTTTTCCAAAGAGAGGAAGTGTGGGAAATGTTGGTGCTAGAATATATATTTTTGTGTGTTTGATTTGTAAATTCAAGCAAGAAGAAAAATGTATTGTATATTCAGTGTCCCTGCTGGAACAATCTCATCAAGTTTATCAAAAGTCCCACAAACTCACAAAGGGTAAAAAAAAAAAACTAATGTCTACCAAAGAGAACGGCTCACAACATAGGTCTCTCAGCTGCAGGATCCCTCCCCCTAGCAAACTTCCTCTCAATCCTCTCCTTCCCCTTGACCATCATGTCCTTTGCCTCCTCATCCGTAATCTGCGTCAGTCCCGCCGCGACATCCTTATCCTCCCTCTTCAACGTCTTGGCACGGATCATGACCGCACTGCTCTGCAACCTCGGCTTGGCCGGCTCGACGACAGTCTTAATAAATTCAGTATGCTCCTTGTAATGCACTTCGCTCTCGGGCAAGCCGTCGAGCAAGACGGCAAAAACATGGGGCATAGCCTCGAACTCGCGCCACGTGACACTGACGCCTTGGCTGACGGCGCGCTGGGCCAGGACCGCGCCTTCATCCCTCAGCATCTCCTGGCCGATGGAGAAGAACAGAGGCGGGCTGCCGGACCAGTCTTGGGCTGCGAGCGGAGAGACGAGGGGATGCAGCAAGGCACTAGCTTCGCAGTAGAGATCGGCACGGGGGGGATTGGCAGGCCAGACTTCATCAGCGGGGAAGTCTTTCTTATCGGTCTGGCTGGGTGGGGGCAGGTAATCGAACGTGGTCTCGTTTTCTATCGACGGAAGCGAGCGAGTGATGTCGAGCCAAGGGGAGGTCAAGGCGAGGCCAGCCGGCAGCGGTATGTCGACGAGTTTGCCATGGAAGCGCACGGTAGGCGTGTGGCCGTCGGGCGCCGACCTGTGGATTTGCAACAGAAGCTGCAACAAGGCGGTACAGCACAGTCCTCCGGCCGAATCGCCGCCAAACACAATCTTGCCCGCCGGAACGGCCTCGTGGAACGCGCCCGGCGGCGGCGACAACAGAGACAGATACGCGGTAAAGGCATCGAGCAGCGCCGCGGGAAACGCATGCTGCGGCGATAATCGATACCGCACGTTGAACACCCGGCCACCCGTCTGCCTCGCTATCCGCGCTCCCAGCCCGCGATATCCCGACGGGTCAAGCAAATACATTGCTCCCCCGTGAAAATAAAGCACCGTCGTTTGACTCGTCGTCTCTTGCATCAGCGCTTCGTACTTTTCCTTCTCCCCCATGCCCACTGGCTCTCCCTCCCCATCTTTGGCTTGCGACCGATACCCGTTCCATTCGGCCTCCACCCCCTTTTGCTCGGGCTCCTCCCACTTTTCTTCCCCCGTACCCATCTCTCTTACCGCTTTGAAAAGCAGCTGTCGCGCGTCGTCTTCGCTGGGCGTCGCCATGGCCACTTTGCTCACCCACATTTTACCCTTGACTCCGGGGTCGCGCAGAGTAAATCGCTGCGTTTTGCCAATGGGCTGCGGGGATGCGTTGGGGCCCGTCATCTCGCGTATCATGGTCACTGTGAGACTGGTTTTCAGGTCCCATTTTGAGGATTGGGGGCTGAGCGAGAGGGAGTGCCAGAGGGCTGTTTTGAGCAGTAGAGGGGTTTTTGGGAGGAGGAGTTTGGCGAGGGCTGTTGGTGACGAGTCCATTTTTTTTCTTTCTTTTTCGCCCTTATTTCCCTTTTGACTTTTGACTTTCTTCTCTTTCTGAATTGCCTGTTTTTTTTTGGTATCGGGACTTGAGAGTGAAGTTGTGTATGTCGTCCAGGCAGCCTATTTGGAGCAACGTTATATGTATATATATACCCTAGGTTCAAAAAGCGATGGTATCAGGCGTGTCGGGCGTTCAGAACAAAAAAGAATAGGTGTTCTCTCCGTGGCGCAGAAAAAGGGTACAAAAGTCTTGACGTCGTTCGCATTTCGAACCCTTTAAAAGATGCCTCGGCAACGGAAGGTCTACTACCCGAGTCATGCGCCCCATGGGTACAAGATACGGTCGATACGGCTCGGTGTGTGGGAGGGGCATCTTCTTATCTAGGCAATAGAGACACACGACTTGTATGCGCCAAGTTAACTTCCTTAAAAACCCTGTTGTTTCTCTCTGTTGATGTGAGGATAAAGTGTATACGCGCTTATGTCAGCTTTGCCTACGTATTTCGTACTAACTCGTGCTTACTATCGTTTCTTATTGCGGAGTAATAAAAGCTAAAAGCATCTCAAACCTGACGACAGTGACAACAATCAAGATTGCAGAACTCATTAGTGAATAATATCCATTTTCAAGGCGCAATCAAAATAATAATGGGGAACATAAAACTGTGTAGTATCCCCTGGTGGTATCTTTGCCCCTGTTTCCCAAAAATAAAACGCCCTGTTGCGCCCAATCCAACCCGCTTCATACAAACATACGCAGCAGCGTATCCCTTTCCCAACTAACTTCACAGACAAACACATCCTTCTACCCTTGTGTTGACAGAGAACTTGTTCTGCTACCGACCGCTTTAACAGAAGACTCATCAGATGAAGAGTTGCTAAAGGCCGATACCAGTTCCTCGGCAGCAGAGGTTGAGTCCGGATCCGCTCCAGCAGACGACTCGTTATCAGCCGAATAGTTGAGCGAAATTGACTCCAACTCCTCACTAACAGACGACTCATTATCAGCCATATAATCCGCGGAAGTCGACTCCTAGCCATCCAACTCGCCCTCTTCACTGCCCCTCTCTGTCACATTCCCATCCGCAGTGCCGTTAGCAGGAGGCTGGCTTTGGCTGGTCATCTGGACTCCTTCCATGCTCCTAGGCGTGTCTCCAAAGTCGATGCCATCTTCGGGTGTTCTAAGCCCGGCGTACATGTTAGGCTCGCCGTCCTTGTCGGGCGTCTTCTCGTACAGATCAGCCATCAGGTTGCATGCTTTTCTGATGTCGCGCAGCTGGACGTGCTGAATCTCCCACCAAGGCTTGCCGTCGTCGTCGTTTAGTTCAACCTCGGCCATACGCGCGCCAGCATACAGCGATGCGGCGGCAATTGTTCGTGAGGGAAACAGCAAACACATTTGCGTGGATGTTGAGTCAGAGAGAAAAGCCCAAGCCGAGTTGCGCAACTTTTTATTATGCTCGACACCGTAGTACTTCATCATGTCGTACATGATCTTATAGGGCGACTCAACGTTGAGGTCAAAGCATAGGGCCTCAAGTAGAACATCTTCGCTGTATAAGATGGTATCCCGCCATTTCCAGAAATCCTTTGTTTGCTCGTCGACAAGCTTGTTCGGGTCTTTAAGGGCAACTCGGACGCATGACACGACAAGTTCTTTCATCTTGCGGCAGTTCTCTTCGACTTTGGTAGCGAGAAATAACGCAGTCGCAGCAATTTGCTGGTAATGTCAGATGCGCTCGCGTGAAACAGGAGCCATTGTGTGTAGACTTACATAATGGTGAAGAGGCTTGTAACCGGGCCGTGGCTTAAGGCTCATCCGCATCAGGTAGCGGTTGAAGAATACGGCAGCCGTGCTCAGAGTCGTCTGTGGGAGCTTGAGCATCATGCCCACCTGCAATATGAAGCCCACGCCTTTCCTTCGCAGTGTCCGCTCCTCTTCTGGAGCCATTCCATCGGTTATCGACGGCGCCAAGAGCAGCTCTTCTTCTGTGAATATCCACTGCATTTCGGCTTCGACTACCGCCGGCGGTGGCGGGCGAGGAGGCTCGCGCTGTGGCACCATTGCGCTGGATGTGGTCGAAACCATAGCCAAAGGCTAACAACACCAACGTTTGGGGGTAGAGATGGAGTGTTGCGCAAGTTGTCGGTGCCGATACAAGTGGACGCGCGTTGTCGTAGAGGCCAAGTAGCGGGCTATGATAGACGGCCGATCAGACGCAAAGGCCCACAGAGCGCAAGAGCGGATGGTTCTGTTTCGCGATGACGGGCAGGGCAACTGCCGGATATAGAGGAGGTTTTATTCGTGAGGTGTTCATTAAGCTTGAGTGTTGCAAGGGCCAGCGGGTCTCTTCCGCGGCGAAGGCAGGGATTAGCGCCAAGCCCATGCCTCCAGTCCATCACCCTTCCTTGCACTACCACATCATATCGATGGCGCCTGTTCCAAAAGCTTGTTCTTGTCACACCGCTGGACGTGTAACTATAACGAAAGTTCATACAATGTGAGTCGAGAATCGTTTCGAACCATGCGAGGGGCTTCATCTGAAAACACTAAATCTGGGACCCGCAATGGTTCAAACAAGATTGCAACTTTGTAGACAGTAGATCATATTTCGAAGGCTTCATTACTGGAATCCTCTAGATGCCCCATCCGGACAGATTTTTGAAGAGTTTACAGTCGTGCATGGACAAACAGCAGGTACAATTAAAAAAATACTTAGAAATAAAGCCGCACATATGAAAAGCCACGGGATTCGAGCCCAAGCCCGTAATTCTTTCCACCCAAACACGCCCGGTAATGCTATTGATTGATCGTACCCTCTAAGAGAGGTAAATGGCTTCGAAAAGGTAGATAACACCGAAAATGAGAAAGGCAATCGCGCCACCCAGAGTCACTATGTGATGTTAGACATGTTTTACGACAGCAGAGAGAGATGTTCTTACCATTGCGCATACTAATGCGGCCAGCAATGGCACGGCCGCCGATCACGGCACCTGCAGTACACAGGCCATGGCCTACCACGGCACCAGTAGTGACATACCAGTAGTCTGAACCAGCAGCCATGGCAACTGTGGCAATCTGACTGCGGTCGCCCCATTCTCCGAGGAATGTCATGACAAACGTCTGAACCCAAGCGGGACTGAGAAGCAAAGAAAACAGGTTATTGACAGCACCCATTGTGCTGGACATTGAGCCTCCGCGTGGAGATGGCATGCGGTCGGGTGAGTTAGAGGGGCTTCGAGCAGGTGCGGGTAGTCGCGAATTCGATCGTGAGCGTCGTACACCACGGCCAGACTCCAAAGCGTAGGGAGAGACAGAAGCCTTTCGGCGACCCTGGTGTCGCGCAAGCTGCTCCTTTTCTTCCAATTCCTGCTCCACCTCTCGCATCTCTTCTCCAACACCTTCATCCGGGCTCATGGCGAGACCCTCCTTGATGAGCCTTACGCCAAAGACGAGGAAGAGAGCAGCAGCGGCAAAATGCGTAAAGCGTTCGGACAGGAGTGCGGGGACGGCATGACCCATGACGGCAGAGAGCACTGTCATGACTACCAGAGCAGAGAAGGCGGCAGAGAAGACAAGCAACCGTGGGTGTCGCATGGCCATGAGAGCTGCAACAAGGAACGTCTTGTCACCGATTTCCGAAAATATAATCATGGTAAAGGCAAGGATCAGGGAGTGGAAGGGCTGTACAACGCCGGCGTCGGCATCCCCGCCAGGCGTCAAAGAGGGTGTCTTGGATGAAGAAGAAGTGTCTAAAGGATCTTTGCTGGAAACCGAGTTTGGAACGGGGAGGGGGTTGTCATGAGGAGACTCGGGAAGGTCGGTGGGTTTCTACGTCAAGTTAGCACCATGTCGTACTTGTAGCCACGTTGAATCCTACCTCCAACCCGCCTGCGCCGAGTACGCGCGAAGAAGTTTCTGCATCTCCTGCATCTCCCTTCAATTGCTTCTGGTCGTGAGGGTGAGGAGGCGCCTCCTTGGGCGATTCAGGAACCTGTTCCATCTTCGAACCCGTCTTTTCCTCATGCGCCAAACGCTCCTTGTCTTTTGCAGAAACTCCGCCCTCGGTGCCTTTGCTGCCCGTAGCCAGTTTCCGCGTGGGATCTTGCATGACGCTTTTGTCACCATCGAGCACATCGTCGACCAGAACGGTGCTGGAGGCTTTTGGCTTCTTTGCCGCCCCTAGGTCCTCTACGACATTCGGAGCTTTGCCATGAGCCTTGGGTACGTCGGCAACATATGGGCCGTGGTGAGGCAAGCCATCGTAGCCGTCGACGGGTGCATCTTTGGTGCCTTTTGCGGCTGTCGGGGATGCAAGAGAGGGTTCGGCGAGAAGAGTGGCGTCGGGGGAAGCGGGTGCGGCTGCTCGCGCGAGTCGTTTGTCGGCGGTGGTGTCAACTGGGCCGGGTGTAGCAAGGACTTGTAGAGCGGGTAAGAGAAGCAGCAAGATTTGCGGCCCTGGCTGTCGTAACTTCATGATGAAAGCAATTGGGATGTGAGCGAGGGAGGGTGGAAGGGCAAGGAAAGGGTCTTGGGCGACGAATTGAAGCGTGGGCAGGAAAAGAGTCGTAAGTGTACGTATGTGGAGAGAGAGAGCGACGAGAAGAGAACAAGAAGTGGCGAAGGAATGTGGAGGTGCAACGAGTTAATTGGATTCAAAGTTGGAAACAGGCGTGCTTGGCGTTTGGGCGTACGCCAGTCGAGTTACACTGGGGTGAGTGGCGTATGGAGGAGGGTGCAGGCGTGCAGCCAGCCCACGTATTATATTTCGTCGGTGTGTACGCAAGCACATAAGGCACTAGTTTAGGGGGGGTTTTTCTTTTCAGGCAATTCTGACAGTGGAGTGCGCAAAGGCGGAAACATCCCTTGAATGCCGTAGTCCCGTCTCGACCTCAAACGCTTCGTATGCACGTCTTCACTGGCCTCCCCCCTGCCCAAGTGTGAGGCCCACCCCTATGCCTAGGCTGCGACGGCTGGTGCTGACTCATGGCTGGCTGGTCTCGACCACGTGACAGCCCGTTGGCGGGCGCACTTAGTCAGCTGCAGTCGCGCATCAGACGGTAAACAAGTCGTCGCCATCACCGCCGATAATACTCACATACGCCGTCAGCACTTGGTCGCGCCACCCACGCACCCTCCGCCGCATGTTCTGCTTGTCGATACAACGTGCCCTTTCGAATCCCAATGGCTGACAGTAGAGGTGTGCGGTCTGCAGGCCGACGCGAAACGCCTACCCCACAACCACCACTCTCCAAGACTACCGCGACACAGATGGCGCGCACATCACGCGCAAGAAGCTTGCGCAGTGCAAGTCGCGAAATCACAGACTTTGTTCCTGTTGAGAAACCCACCCGTCGATCCGCACGCCAGGCAAGCGTCACCTCCGTAACCGGCGAGAATGAGAGCGAGGAAATCCAGGCGCGTCAGACAAGGCGCGAAGCCATGAAAGAGATGTTGGAAGGTCAGTAACCACTTTGCGACCCGCTACATCATCTGCGCAACCCTACGCAGTCGTGAATTGATTGCCAGCCGCTAGACTCGCCCATGGCTGATGATGAATGTGCCTTAGACCTCACTGTCGTAGAAGAAATGGACACCCAGCTAGCACTCGACGAGATTGAACCCCCAGGCACACCTGAACACGCAACTCCAGAGATCCCCATGCCATTCCGTTCCCCCGGCGCCATATCCGAAATGTCCGGAACCACTGCGATTTCCTCTTTCAGCATGGTCGAGGCCGAATTCTTGGAGTCCAGGTTCATTATGAAACACTTGCGTAAGCTTTGCGATTCGGCGGTCGAATTCTTGGAACACATCGCGCCCAGCGGTGCGACTATGTCAGACGATTTACGAAATATAAAAGAGATGCAGAAGCCGGGCTCGGCCTATTCCGAGGAGTACCTTGACTATGAGATAGAACTGAATGTGCATCTGAAGCACTTCAAGAGCGAAGATCACAGCTACATCCGTGTCCGCGCGCTCCATCGCGCTCTCTTTGGCACTGACGAGCAGACTGCCGCATCAGATGCCGGTCTTGATCTGATACTATACCTGACGAACTTGCTCGTTTTTGCGAAACAAATGATTTATTCCGACCGAGATGACAAGACCATGTGGGATGTGCTACGACAGCTTGACAACACTTTCCCTGTGCAATTCATGCGTTCACTGGACCCGAATGCACAACCATCTGGTAAAGGCGAGAGTAGGCTGTTTAGAGAGACATTTCTGCTTGCACTAGAGCTGCGGACCCAACTGGCGATATTGGTGCTTCAAAAATTGACCGACGACCTCGAATCTGATCCTGAAGAAACCGTGAGCGAGATCTTCTTCCGCTCAGAGTCCTCACAAGCGGTAGATGGCTCTCCACTTCGTGGTTGGAACATCGTAGCATTGGGAGGCGACGAAGCTCCACTACCCCAAGAACTTCAAGATCAAGTTGCAGAGCGGTTGAATGAGATTCGGGACTTCTTCCCAACGGACGAGGATTCATTGCAGCGTGGCGAGCTTGTCGAATTGGAACGGCTGAGAGAGAAATTTCCTTGGGAAGCAACAATTCTTCGCTTGTTAGCTTGGGTGCGTCTGCGACGTAAGGAGCTACTTGGTGCGATTGAGGATCTTGGCGGAGCAGCGGTAATTGCGAGCGACGTTAAGAAGCTCCACGAGGAGCCACAGCCTGTGGTTGAGCAAGCGAATGGCCCGTCAATCCCACAAGCATCGCCGTGGAGGAAGCGGACCTCATTTGGACGAGAGAGGCGACGCAGCAGCCGCAAGTTTAATCCCAACGCTGCTGTAGACTTTCGTGCTATTGATATGCTGAAGGCGCGGGAACGTGACTCTGGGGTAGATTTTGAAGTTAATCCTCCTCGGCAAGAACAGAACAAAGAGCCGATTCAACAAGTAGCGGAAGTAGAAGGAATGGAGGGAGAAGGAGAGGGTGGAGAAGAACAGGTGCAAGGAGAAGAAGAGCCCCTGGCAGAGCCCCCACAACAGGATGGCATTCAGCCGGTACTGGAAAGCGATGAACAACAGCAACAAACAGAAGAGGGCCCACGAGACCCACAGGATCAGGCACAGCCGGGAGAAGTTACCAAGGAAAGGGAAGATCAATCTGAAGAACCTGTCGCGTCTGATCCACCACAAAGTTCAGCAGCTTTGCTCAAATGCTTGAAAGCTGTGGGGAAACCTCAGAAGGAGAATCGTCCAGTATCAATATTCGACCGGCAGGTTACTGCGCAGCGTGTCGAGTTTGGGGATGGCTTTGACGAGACACAGCCTACGCCGGGGCCATCTAACACAAACAAAGCAAAGCCGCCTCCAGAATCATCATCACATAAACGCCCACGATCAACGGACGACTCCTATTCTGACGATGCATTCGAAAGCGGGGACCGTGGTCTCCGGGTCCTAGAACGCCGGCGCAACGCTCCAAGGACCAAAAGAGTTCGTATTGACCCTTCATCCTCCGCTCCTCCACCAAGTCATCAACCTCCACCACGCCCAACCCAATCATCCCGACAATCGCCAGAGCAAGCAGAGTCCTTCTCTGAGACCGAGGCCCCGGAGATGACTGAAGAAATTCCATCCTCAAACTACCAGGCTCAACGTCAACTTGCTCAGGAGAACCAGCGGCTCCAGTCTCGCAGGTATCGAAACGAGCGCAAGCCCCGCAAAGGATGGTCTAACGAGGAGGAAGACGCCATGTGCGAATACATGCGCATGTATCCAGGCAAGTACTCGACGATCCTCACATACGACAAGAGCAACGGCAATTTCCTGGAAGGCCGGACACAAGTCAATCTCAAGGACAAGGTCAGGAACATGGCGCTCAACATGATCAAGTACGTTGTATATCTAATATGGACTTTTGTTGATGGAATTAGCATGCTAACAAGAAGCAGATCTGGTACTGGACTCCGACCAGGCTTCGAATACATTGTCCACCCAAAAGAGAAATACGGCGCAGCCCTAGTAGAAAGCGGATGGCTAATGCGCGATGATGGTGAGTGGGTGCGCCAGGAAGATGCATGAGTGTGAGTATTATGTTTTAATGATGAGCCTTGTCATATTTTTTGCTCTAACCCCCCTTTTTTATGTGTAGAAGGAATTTTACTTCGTACACGGGCATGGGGAGGGATCGTAAACGCTTTTTTTGCTGTTTTTCTTTCTTCCTTCAATAGTTGCTGATGCTCTTGATACCCACGGCTTGTTTGGCGTATGAAATCGTACGTTTTTATTTTGGCTCCCTTCCTGAGCCATATCTTTTTATCCACCACAAACTCCAAGTTTTCCATGTGATGCTTCTTAATTGATTTTTTTTATATCCGTTCTCGCCATCTGACACCCCATTCGCCCTTTGCAAAGCTCGCTTCGACAACAGCGCCTTTCATGACGGCCTCGCACTTTCTCTTCTCGGGCTCATCGGGGACTGTGAAGCCAAAGGCACATCCGCGTCTCGCTGCTTTACGCACCATTTCGCGCTCGTCTGCTTTTCTCTGGCCTTCGCGGCGCTTCAGTTTCATCTCGTCTGTCTCTTCAATGCGCTCGGCCCAGCCTTTTTCGCCGCCGACTGAGCCATTAACGTCGTTTTGGGCTTGAGGCGGCCGGATCTTACCGGATCCGTAGCCATATTCTATTGTGTCAGGTAGAGCATGAGAGGTGGTGCCTGGCGGTGAGGAAGGCTCCAACACGATTCCACCTTCGGCTTCGCCCTCGGAGTCTGAGATGGTGTCTTCGTCGCTGGTAAGATCTGGCGGTAGGGGCTGTGTTGAAGTTTCTGTGCCGCTGGAAGCAGTTCCTGGTGCAGGGTGATCGACCATGTCTACGCTTCGCCAGTCCTCTGGCTTCTCGACTACAAAGCGCGCTTTGCGATTTTTACGGCGCCCGTACACTTTCTCGGGGTCTTTTTCGCGCTGAAAGACGATTTCTTCCACAGTGCTGCATTCCACAATGATTCTCTGATCGCCCTTTGTCGTCTTGGAGGGCTTCTTCTTGTGCTTCTTTTCGCCTTTGCGGCCTTTTCCATGCTCATTGTCTTCTTCATTTCGATTCATCTTAACGCCGTCACTTGCAGGCTCGGCCCCCGCATCTTCCTTCAACGACTCTATACTCGCGCCGTTTAGCAGGGCTGCGAAGGTGGCTTCGATTTTACGGTCAATTGGGCCGGGTTTGCTGTTGCGGCATCTGGCTGAGCAGTACTTTACTTCTGCGGCCTTTTGTGTCTTACGTCGGTCGCCGATGACTCGACCGCAGCTGTGGCAATATGGGACTGCGTCGCCGACAGTGAGGTATAGGGGCGGTGGAGTGACGGCATGTTTGCTCGGACGAGACCAAGAGTCCATCCACGACATGGTGCTGGTGCTGGTACTGAGGCCTCTGGTAAACAGTAAAGATGGTGACAAGTAGATTTTGGATACGATGCAGCGGAAATGGCTTAACAACTGCGTTTGGTGGAGGTTGGTCAAGATTATGAGACTTGGGAGTTTCGGGGTTCGGGTGCACGACGTCATCGGCAGCTGTAGTGGTACGCGATTGTCTGCAGGAGCACACTGTGCCTTGCAGGCGGTAAGGACGGTGAATCTTTCATTGTGAATGCTCTGCAATAATGCGTACAAACCCGATGGTGACGTATTTGAAGTTACAGTTGGGTGCAAGTAGGCGTGTTTGCGGCACGTGGCTATGCACACCCATGATTTTTTAGGCGTCCCCAGCAAACACCCTCCATCGACGTTAATACTGCACTCCAAAGCCCATCACTCGCGGGCGATGGGAAGTGAAAGTATGGTAGTTGTTGCACCACCTCCATAACCCCCTCGGTCGATCCCTCGGATGTTACTCATCTCTGTTTCTGAAAGTTACCGAGCTTAGCAATCCTCCGACTCGGCAATGTGAGCGCGCAAATTCGACTCACTAAGTAAGGTCCGTTTCACCGGAGGGAATCATGGAGAGGATATATGACCCCGCCCGGCGCTCCGCTCGCTCTGGCAGTTAAGTCGAGGCGCCGGAATTTTGTTGAACCTCTTGGGCTCTATTCTGCGCAGAACTTCAGATCACGTCTTCCCCAGGGAATAAAGCCCCGTTGCGAAGCGGACAAATGGAGCGCCTATCGCTATCTGCAGCGACCTCAATGCCGACATCTGTCTTCGCACAGTCATCCCCCCATCACGACTTCATCGCCAGCCGACGAATTCCGAGCGTGCGCCGTCGTCGCTGGAAGAAAGTAAAATCGCTGCCAAGACCCAGAGCATCCGTCGCCATGTCACCTGCACTGGACCCCTCGACGGGTGAAACCGGCCCCAAGGCATCGCGTGCGCAAGCCATAGAGATCACCTCGACCCCGGATTTCGGACGTCCCAGGCGGACTACTGCCCAGAGCGACATACAAGATACCATCCAGCACCCGGGCAGCGTGCGCATCAATGTTCAGGGTGCTTTCATAGTCGACGAGGAGCAGCCGGCTACGCCCAAAAGCGAAGATTACGAGCACGACCCCCATGACATTAGGCTGCCCAACCACACGGCCGTTGTAAGCCATGTAGCCGTTGATGTGAGTGCTCCTGCGCGATTCTTTGCTTGTTGTTGCGCCCGGCACGCGACCATGCGCTGTCGTCTTCTTCCCGCGCCGACCCCCCTGGCAAAAGTATAAGGAGGAACATGCTAATGCGACCTGGTAGATTGGAGGCTCCCTTGCCAAACTCGTATACTTTTCGCGCGAACCAGGCGACGATGCGGCGGGCGGACGGCTGAACTTTTTCAAGTTCGAGACAGATCGCATCGACGCATGTATAGAATTTATGCGCAAGCTCAAGGACGACCAGAAACAGCACAATGATTCCAAGTCGCAGGACCTGTGCATCATGGCCACCGGAGGAGGCGCATTCAAGTACCATGACAAGATTACACAGGCGCTAGATGTAGAGGTCATACGGGAAGACGAAATGGAGTGCTTGATCATAGGTATGATTGTTACCGCTGTCTAAATGTTGCGACCGAACACTGCTGACGATGGCGCTACCCAGGCCTCGATTTCTTCATCAACGAAATACCTGATGAAGTCTTTACCTACAGCGAAGACAGCCCTATGGAATTTGTACCACACCCTCCTGACCCACCAAACATCTACCCCTACCTTCTCGTAAACATCGGCTCCGGAGTCTCCATGATCAAAGTCTCGGGACCGCGACAATTCGAGCGTATAGGCGGAACATCACTAGGCGGTGGAACACTCTGGGGCCTCTTATCTCTCCTCACCGGCGCCCGCAGCTTCGACGACATGCTCCGACTCGCCGAAAACGGCGACAACTCCAGCGTCGACCTCCTCGTCGGCGATATCTACGGCCAAGCATACAACAAGATCGGCCTCAAAAGCACACACATTGCCTCCTCCTTCGGCAAAGTCTACAAGATGAAGCGCGCAGCCGAGCGCGAGGCAGAAGACGGTTGCAACGGCGACCTCAAGCGCAGAGAAGAAGCAGAACACGTCCAGGGCTCTGCAGAGCTCCCTCACACCCCCGGTTCTTTCCGTCCAGAAGACATGGCGCGCTCCCTCCTCTACGCCGTCTCAAACAACATTGGCCAAATCGCTCATCTCCATGCTGAAAAACATGGCTTACCACGTATCTACTTTGGCGGCTCTTTCATCGGTGGCCACTCCCAAACTATGAATACCTTGTCCTACGCCATTCGCTTCTGGTCCAAAGACACGCGCCAAGCATATTTTCTAAGACACGAGGGCTATCTTGGTGCCGTAGGTGCGTTTTTGAAGAGGCAACCTAGGAACTGGGGGAGAAGGGAAAGCTTTGCTGGGCCGGCAAGACCGACTTGAGGTTTTTTTCCTCTTTCGCTCTCTCGGTGTGTTCCCCCTTTATTTTTTCCTTCTCATTTCTTTCCTCTCTTCCAATTCATATGGATCGCGCTGTTTTTTAGGGGGACAGCTGGCGTACATGGTTCTATAGAAGATAGAGATTTTTCGGTATAATATTATCAACTAATACTGCCATTCATCATTGCCACTGTTCAGTGCTTGGAATGCTTGAAAACAAAATTGGTTGATGGAGTGATTGCTCGGCCCGAGAATCTGCGGAAATTAAAAAAAAATCAAGGTGTTGTTCTCAAACATACCGGTCCGGCATAATTGTGACCTAGTAAGGTTGAGCCAGGAACGCATGTCTAGTTGCAGATGAAAAAAAGGCCGTTAATTTTTCTATTCGATACTAGCTACGCCTTATTATAGAGTAAGTCTTCTTTAGCCTTGACTCTAGGCCCTATACCCATACCTAGTCACAAGTATTGCATGGATCAAAAAAATGAGTATTTTTGCAACACGTATTGCACGGGGTACAACCATACAGGCAACACGTTCCCATGTTCTTGTCGCAGCAAGCAGCATAACAATTCTCTTTGCTTTCGCAATTAGCGAAACAATCATTATTGTTTCTGCAGGTACGAGCGCTCAATTGAACAAGCGCTTCATCAGATTGTACAAGACTTCTAGGTATATATCCGCCTGCTGCAACGCCAAAAAGTAGAGCAAATTGAATTATATGCATCCCTGTAGGTGTCAGCTTGCATTGTAAGCTTAGAAGGACGTCCAAGAGACTAACTTGGCTTTCGATTAGAAAGCAGGTTTGTGAGATGTGAAGTGGTAAGAGTGTTCTTTGTATTCGCTTGATAAGGATTTAGTATCGGTAAGTGATACAGAAGGGCACTTCAATGCAGAGCTGATATTGTGGCACGATACGTGATCGAGCTCAAATAGATCAGGAGGCGAACCGCAATCGAGTAGAAAGAACAGAGCTGATATCCAACTTCTGCCAAAGAATTGATTGGAGAAGGTGCCTACCTACGTACGAAAGAAAATCGTAATATATATCCACGATCTAATCACGTGATAATACACCACAATATATAGCGAAGATAAAAGAGAAGCTTAAACCTTGGCAGAGATAGTTACCTTGTAAAAGTTTATGCATTACTCATCCTAAATGATGGGGAAGAACCTGTACCAGGGAAAGTAAAGTTTTGTTTCAAACTATATATCTAAGAACGTAGGGGGTTGCTAGTGGTGGAGAATTGAGACTACTCTTACTCAGCTTACTTCTCTTCGTTTCACTAAGAGACGTTCCTAGTCCTGGTAGGGCTGCTGCTGTTGCTGTAAGTTCAAGCTCGTGTTTTCAGGTCAGCATATATCGCGTGATGTTTCACCCTAACCTGCAACCTACGTTGCCAAAAGATCAGAGAGGCCTACGGACGCTATGATATATATGTATGGACATACTATTGCTTCCGGTATCATTTTGATTTTTCTTTTCTTTTTAAAGAAGACTTGAATCGTTGTTAATGCCGTCTCATTTAGTGAAGTCATAGGAATAATCCAGAGTCTCCGTGGCCGAGCCACTGCCGACGCTCTAGACTGTCATAGAGCAAGAGAGAAAGCGTGGAGTAGTTTACCGACAAGAAGTATAAATGAAGAAAGACATGCATACGTTTTATTGACTCGAATTTTCTGCTTTAGATAGGTCTAGTGCTGATCTTACTATAGTGGGGTGGTGAGCCGAGCCGTGTATACAACCTTTTAGAGCTGTCCCCGCACTCGCAGGCACAAGAGTGTGGTTTTGATGGGCAGAATTTGCCGCGGTCGAAGAAAAATGCACTGACTCTGGCTAAAACCTTCCCATTGTATAACTTATATTCTATCAAATCTTCTATCTACACCAGACTAACGCATTCATTTTAGGTTGAGATTGTAATCTGTTGTCTAGTGACCACTGTGGAGACACCGAAATTCAAATCGATCTGTAAAGATCTCCACACCAACTTCAATCTAGGTGGATCCTGCAATGGCAATGGTGAGGAAAGCTTAGGGTTAGGGCGATATGTATTATTATATCAAGGCCAACCCAGAAGGCCTCTGTTAGATAGCCATCTATACAATGGATTCTATATTTAAAATTCCTAATAAAGATTTGGTAATGCAGACAGAATAAGACAACGCTCAGACCTCTTAACAGAACCTAATCTTCACACGTATGCACACACCGTGACAGATCCACCGTCCTCAAAGACCCATCACAATCTGACAATTAAGAGTCTCATATGCTCTATAGCACAAAACAACTTCCCAAATCACTCGAACCAAGGCGACGATAACTCTACGCGATGAGCACGATTACAGGTGCTAGCTACCTAGCTCTAATTTCGATCAAGCCTGGAGAAGGATAGCCTAACCCTATATAGCACGTATGAAATAGTCTCTTAATCTTAACATTAACTAGATAGGCACCCTTTAGTAGTAGGCAGTACTTTTTTAGTAATTACATTGCTGAGAGCTAGGGTATAGCGACGTTGAAAGGAAAATTAACTATGTATCTTGAGTGAGAATGTTATCGGTCCTTCATCTCATTCCCGATCAAGCAAAGCTTGTTAGCGAGATTCGGTCTTTTGAGTATTCAGCGTTGATTCTGCTTCGCCTTTTTCCATACTAGACTTTGTAATGCTTTTAATGGGATTTTCTCTAGACCCCGTAGTTGCGCTATCTGGCTGCTGAACCTCTTCAACACCAACACTTCGATAGAGCGACTTGGCAACATTACTCTGGTATGTAGGCTTTGGATGGTAGTACGATGGATCAGGCTGGTTATGACCTGGTCCATGAGCCAACACTTCACTAGGGGCATGTGCAGGCTCGAAAGTAGGAGGGTCAAGTTTCTGTGCAGCCTGGAGGCCTGAGGCACCACTTATCGAGCCGCGGAGACGGTGGATGTTTGCATGACTTGTATACTTCATTGATTCGGCGTCAGGTCTAACAGAAAAAACAGGATCAAGTTTTTTGGCTGCTTCGAGTCCGGATAATGCACCTATTGAGCCACGATGCTCGTGTGGTGGGTTGGGGCCGTGCTGGTGTTTATGAGATACATGCCAGGTATCTCTGAGTCCATGTGATGGGTTCCAGACAATTTCTTTGTCATCTGTACATGATTAGTTTAACAATTTATCAAAATCAGATAGAAAGAATTAAAACGGTTCGCAACAAGGACTGCGTAACTTGGTGCGCACACTGAGACTCACCAGTGACGTCGGTTTGCTGGAGGGGGAGAACGGTGTGCAAGCCAGCTACAACCTTCAGCACAGGTATCAAACATACGAAGGGCATGATGTGAAGGGTATAACGATATTCGATTATAGGGCTTTATCTATCTGCGTGCATCGTATCCCGTACCACCAATTGTAGAAGTAGGATCAGCTCGGTGATCTTGATCAGAGTCGAAGCGCGGGTCAAGCTTGTTGCCCATGTTGGTCGAATGGGGACCAGCATTGGTAGAGTTGGTTGCTGTTCCCCTGTGGTCTGTGTCTGAATCAAATCTTGGGTCCAGCTTGTTACCAATGTTGGAGTCGTGTGGGCCGTAGTTTGTAGATGTGGAAGTGGTATTGGTAGGAGCAACACCAGCACTTGTGGCATGACCCCGGTAGCCACTGTCCCATTCATCAACTCCCTTGTTGGCAATCTCTTGGTTCTTGAATGCGCTCGCCTTGTCGCCGCTTGCTTCGTCGACCATGGACATTGCATTGCCACGGATGGCTTCGCCAGTTCCCTGAAACCTGTCAGCTATCGGCCCACAGCATTCCTACACAGCTCAAGATATGCAAAGACTTACATGAACCATGTTCACACCCTTGCGGATGGCATCGCCAAGGCCGGGACCAGAGTGTGCGCCAGTCATGTTGAGTGTGTCTAGTCGTAAATTATGAATAATAGTTGAAAGGATCAGGTAGTAAAAGCTTAGGTGTGGAGGTCGAGAGGGATACCAAGTGATAGTGGATAGAGAGAAGGGAAAGAGAGCAAGATATACTGATGACGCTGCCGGCAGCTTCCACATTACATGCCAACAAGCGTACCTGGTTATGATCTGCGCTCTCTTAGTACGTACGCATGCGCATGTGCATGCGCAGAAGTAAGGAAAGGGCATTGCGACATAATCTTGGAATTGTGATGTCATGCACTCGGTATGGTACAGCCCCGACGCCGATAAGGCTGAGCTAGGCTGCATTGGATAATTGACGTGTTGGAACCACGATAGCCTTTGATCGATGAATGACGTTGGATACGATACAGCTGAATGTCGTAAAAAATGCCGATGCTAGAATAGAGTCAAGGGGTTGAAAGAAAACCGTACTTTATTATGTTGTGTAGTTACACTAGAGGTTGTTTTGGTACCAAAATGCCACCAGTAGGTTATCTTTACCTATTAGAACCTCAAGTAAGCTAAGCTGACTTGGTATGGAGACCATCTTTTCTTTGGTACTTATTTGCTAGTACGAAATAGTCTTCTAAATCATCCTGCACTGAAGGTCACCCATGTGCGCGGTGCTACGGGGTAGTTTAGGGAGGGTTACGAGACCTTGACAAGGCTGCATAGATTTCATCCTCTATAGGATTGAGGCCTTCCAACGGCACTAGCTTTACACTATCCATTCTAATATAGCAACGCCGATGACGATAACGCGAAGGAAGGAGTGCTAAACAGTGCAAAGCGAAACGGAGCCGCATTTGTACAGGCCATGTAGCTTGCTTGCTCATATATAGGTAATTTTAGTACTTAGCAACGCTTAACTGAGACCTGAAGTACCGGGCACTGGCTAGAAGCTACTCGATTGACCTAAGGGTCACCCTAGCTATGCAGAAGGAGATATAACGGCTCTATAAACTTCATCACAAGGCACAGTACGTGCACTACACACGGTAGTTATGGCACGGGCCTTAAGTCAATATCCACTAACTATTGTTAATTCTAATATCCTTAGTGTTTACTATCTGTTAGTAATTTATGGCGAATTTAAAAAAAGAAATTAATATGTTTATATAATAGAGTGAGTTCTAGTTCGATAGTGCTATGTATAAGCTTGATGGGTACTCTCCACCTGTATGCACTCTGTGTTTCCCAACGTTTAAGTTCTTTAAGCTTTTGTCCAGACCTTTATACTCTGGCCATCTAGGATCATGACCAAGTATGTCGAGCCGGAGTGATTCGCCTCTCTCAAAAATCATGCCCCCCGCCCAAATCATGATCTCAAGCTCCACTACTTGATCTTTCTTGAGTTTCTCAACCTTGTCGTGCGGATGCCAAATATATGCTGGGGAGAGAAGCTCTAGCTTTTCATCAGGATAATCAGGTTCTTTCTGGACAGCGCGGTGAGAGGCTCTGAGACGGCCATTTGGTCCAATGTACCGCAAAAAGTTTTCGCCTGGTATGTCCTTTTCTGAGACTTCCGGAGGAAGGTCTCTGAAGGGTATGTTGAAATGCTGCAACATCTTTCCATTCTGATCCAATTTCTGGATCATGACGTAGACATCCATGTCGTCATGATCAGGCGTTGACATATATCTAGCAATGCAGTCAGCTTTTTCCAATTATCATGACAATATCATATTTATAAAAGATACAATCACGTCAGATTATTCTTTGTGTTCTAATAGGAATGGTCTTACAGCTTGGCTTTACTAAAGCCACATAACTCCGTGTATTTTTCGAACGTTAGACGAAACCCTGCGTATTCTTTCGGTGGGTATGACCATGCGGCTGTCGCATCGTACGTTAGGGCATGTTCGTTAATTCTTGGATGACGCTGTAATGTCGATGTAAGCCCATCCAGATAGAAACTCTGCCATACGAAGTTCTCCGGTGGAAGCCTAGATATCGGACGGTCAACTATTGATGGTTGATTGTAGCCAAGGAGGGCTAAGCGCATCCGTGGTGTAGCTTCCCAGTTGTTTTGTATGCCTTTCAAATATTTATCAAAGAATGACTGTAGCTCATCAATGTAGTTTGGCTGGTAGATGTCGTGCCATTCTTGGGTTGAGCAGATGCGCAGCCTGGGAAATATTGGTCAAATGGAAAAAGCCTTCAAATATCGCCTCGATCAGTACATACCATTTCTCAGTTGATGAAGAAAGAAAATAGCCACGGAGACTTCCTTCGGTGTGCAGGCCAGTTGAATAGCTTGCTGTCGCGTACATAGGGACGTTGATATTCCAGAGTTTAGGTCGCTTATCTTCCCAGTATGCATTCCATAGCGGGTATTTGTCAATCATGCCCTCTACATGTTCTCTGTTGTTTAGACCTATTCATTCGTTAGTGCTTCGATGGCCAGAACTGCAGATTAAGTGTTAACTACCTCCCGTAAAATTGGATAGCAGCAAACCCCAGAAGGAGTAATCTGGAATACCTCCCCTGCAAAGAGATTCACGATAGTAATCTCCTAGTCCTTCCCATGGAGCCAAAGCCTTCAAATGCGGAGGTTGCTCAGCCCCGATAAACCTAGCCCATTAGTCCAACTATCTAAGTGGCCAAAGGGTGTAGTGCTAATGATATAGGCACTTACCACTGTGTAGAACCTAACCAGGAGTTGCCAGCCATTCCCACAGAACCGTTACACCAAGGCTGAACACCAATCCATTCAATGGCGTCATGTCCATCACGACCTTCCTGTGTACCGTATACTGGCATATCTCCTTCCGATTGAAAAGTGCCACGGGCGTCAGTATTCACTACCGCATACCCACGCTGGATCCACTCTGCCGGATCGGGTGCTTCCCACTTCTCTAGACCGCTAGTCCAGCTACGGGGTATCCCAACCCTCCAAGGCAAGTTGTCCAGACTTTGTGGGCCTGTCCCAGTTTTACCAAATATGCTCCAAGGAAGGATCGCTGGCACAGGTTCAGTATCAGAATCGATTGGACGGAAAACATCCGCAAATATTTTCACCCCATCTCTGAGCGTAATCTCCTGGTCTTTCTCATATATCATTGCAACCGGAAGTGGGCGCCGACCATCCTCTTTAACCCACCCCTTTGGCAGAATTTTCTTGTCTTTGCCATACGGAGTCCATACATTATCTAGCTCTCGTTTCGTCGGCGTATAGAGGATTTCGATTCCTCCAATTGATTTTGGCATGTTGGCAATGCGAACTATGTCGAACAAGTCGCTGGAAGATGGTGGCAGGGGGGCAAGGCTCTTGAATAATCAACGAAGAATAACACAGATATTCAATTCGTATGTATCTTCGATGTATGTGCAGCAGTGTACCGTCAATCAAGCAACAGAGTAAGTTTTCTAGCCATTTCATATGTAGTTCTGTGTCGACCACAAACTATCCTTGAGTTTAAGAGGGAATTTACGGAGTTTGAGAATTTCTCAAAAAGGCTAGAGTGGGGAAGGCTAATTCAATGCATGGCGCACGTCTAGTGTAAGCTGATGAGGGTGGGAAAGGCCGCAAATAACGCAGTTGATGTCGGATATCGGGATGTGGGGGAGCTAAGGGTGGATACATCAATTATCTTTGAACAGGGGTTATAAGTTGTCGCCCATAGCCATGTGACGCGTGTCGTGGACTGCTGCACATGCATTACGGGATATTATCGCAGAGTTCTAGGAAACCTTTTCAAGAATTTTTCACTTATTTCTTTTTAAAATCCTGTTATTACACAAAATTCTTCTATACTATATGTTCTATATCATCATTGGAGCGGTAGCCGGGTATATGACATGTAATCCTATCATGCCAGGTGGTACTACGGACAGAACTACAATCGCTGGCTCACTAAGCGTTCATTGCTTAGTCATTCATAAAATACATTAGGATTAGAGCCGAGTTGAATTTATTTTAAAAAGGGTTGTAATTTCAATATGATAACATATATGACATTCTTCGCGTAAAGATCAACGACTAGTAAGCTATTGAACAAGCGGTGCTTCGACTTAGTGTGGGGGAGCCGAAACTATTCCTGAGCCGAAACCTTATCCAGGTTGATGCGGGGAAGCTGATTCATAGATACTATGGCCCTAAATCGGCCCGTGCTAGATTCGTGGAAGGGATGCGACGCACTAAGACGCCATCAGTCAGCGCACGTTTTTGTTCCAGTAGCGATTTGCACATGTACACTATTCACTTTGGAATACTTTCTTCGCCGAGCCCTTCAATGCTGTAGGATCGATCTAATCCTGCCCAAATTAATCACAACTATCATTTTGAACACAATGTTGAACAAAAAAAGACAAGATTCCTTTTCTTGTTCGCAATGTAATCGAAAGTTCGGGCGCAAGGACCATCTCAATCGTCATCTTCATCGCCATACTGGGAATAAGTCGCTGCGATGCACGATATGTACTGCAGTTTTTTCACGAAAGTTTGTAGAAAAATCGAATTGACTTTAGATGGCAATTGTAACGCAGCACAGGGACGCTTTGCTCCGACATAGCCTCGTACACGGGGACCGTGCAGTAGAGGTCAGGCAGCACTTAGCCTCAGAAGGGACAAGAACGAATCAGGCGTGTAGGAACTGCGCAAAGTCCAAGAAAAGGTGTACAGCCGGCACACCTTGTGCAAGATGCCAGAAGAATGGGATAGCATGTGATGACACCCATACCAGCGCCGATGAGGATTGTCCTTCCGAAGGTGACATGAACGATAAACTTCAATCAGCCACCAGCAATACACTTCACGGTTTTGCGGACGCGACCAAAGTGACTCAAGAAAATCTGAATATCGAGTACTCTCTTGACAACCTAGTGGAAAGAGATGACTCTTCCTGGTCCACACAATCTCCATGCAGCAATGGAATGCCGACAAGCTTGGGAAGTGAATCACAAGGCGTAACTATTCCGGATTTCATGACTTATAATCCGCAATTCGATTTTGGGCTCGACCACCTCCAATGGATTCA